GGTTGGGATGTGTGTGAACCTTGATATTTGTTAATGTTGAGTACAGAATGCTAGCAACGTCAATGAAACTTTTAAATGAAAAGAAAAACCTTCAGGGGAAAGGTATGAACTTTGCCCCTATTGAAAGAAAAACATCGTGGCAAGCATAATCAACTTTGCCACCATTGTCATGGAAAAGGTTATTTTTTCGGGTCAAAGCTTCCATAATGGCGGAAATATCATAGACATGTCATGATTTTAGATACATTGAGAGAAATATCGATTCTGCACTGCCTGAAAATTTAGAAAATACCTCCTCCTGATATTTTACAGTGTTACTTTGTGCTAGACGTTCGAAGCGCTAGCTAGCTAGCAACGTCAATGAAATTTTTAAATGAAAAGAGAAACCTTCAGGGGAAAGGTATGAACTTTGCCCCTATTGAAAGATCGAATGAAAAAAATCGTGACAAGCATAATCAACTTTGCCACCATTGTCATGGAAAAGGTTATTTTTTTCGGGTCAAAGCTTCCATAATGGCGGAAATATCATAGACATGTCATGATTTTAGATACATTGAGAGAAATATCGATTCTGCACTGCCTGAAAATTTAGAAAACACCTCCTCCTGATATTTTACAGTGTTACTTTGTGCTAGACGTTCGAAGCGCCGCGCTAAGCCGTGGCAAAACTAGAAATGAACAAAACGAGGGAGATATTTTTAGATCAAGCACAATGTATAGCGCAGCGGCGCAATTTCAACGTCGTAGAACACTGCTGGCTGGAATACATTTTTGCCCGGGAGTAGGGGGTGCTGAAGCATATTTCAGCACCCCAATCCAAAAAGTTGGGGGTGCTGCAGCACCCACAGCACCCCCCGTTCCCGCGGGCTTGTTATTTTCGTTTCGGACTATTGAACCTTCGGACTGATTAACCTTATTCTAAATTCGGACTATCGAACCTTCGGATAAATAAACCTTCAGACTGATGAACCTTCGGATTAATGAACCTTCGGACTATTGCATCAAATGTTCGGATTAACGAACCTTATTTCATTTTCGGACTAACGAACCCCCCTTATGGAAATTTTGTGCATTTGAACTATCGAACCTTCGGACTAAAGAACCTTCGGACTATTGGACCTTCGGACTATCGAGCCCCCGTTTGTAATACATTGTTAAAAGACGTATCATCACCATTTCCGGCCACTCTGTTAATCTATTTCAGGTTACCACGTTCCTTTCTGTCTGGCTCCTAACCCATACCTCATTACCCGTAATATACAACACATATAAGAATGTTACGTCTTCCAGCTATAGTATATGGTCAAAACAAATGGATGTGGTAAAGACCAAATTCAAGGAGCCGCACAATGTCACACAATTTATTTTCTGCGTGACAAATACCGTCATTGTAGCACTTTTGTCCATAATCAAAAATGCTTAGATTTTTCAAGAAAATTTGAAAATAGTGACGTCACTGCAACAGCAAATCCGCTTATTGTTACTTTTAAGTAACAATAAGCTGATTTGCTGTTGCAGTGACGTCACTATTTTCAAATGTCACTGATTATATCACTCTTCAATTCCCTGACCCTCAAAATGTCAAATTAATTACTTAGAATCTCATCACAACGCTTCACGACCTTATTTTCTACAATTAATTACTGTACGAACTTGGTAGTATATTGTGACGTCATTATTACGTCATAAAGTACCCTTCCTGTCATCTGATTTTTTACATCCTACCCTATTTTTGATCGTAACACATTGCCAAAGCTTTGGTGAAAAAAATGGTGCTTTTAAATACCATGTAACGATCCTTAGCATTTTTGTTACTAATGTAGTTCGCTATAAGATGCCTCACTTTTCCGCTTATCTTTGGAACAAGTTTAAACATATTTATGATACTAATAATCAATTACAAAAACTCTGGCATTGAATTTGAACTTTTCTCTCAAACTTAAAAACAACATCTCACAATACCACATACTGTTTGCATGTTTAAACAAAGTGTCAATGTGACTACCCAAAATCCATGATTTTAGCCTAAAAACATGTCTTTTGACCAAAAAAAGGTTTTTTTGACCCACAAAATCACCCTTAACTATATTCCACCCCCATGACATACCACTCAAATGAAAGAGCTTGCTGTCCCCTTTAATTTGATACCACATTTGTTGTTGTAATGCTTGTAGTTCTGAAGATTATTATTAATTTATATTTTTTTCATGTAATAATTAGCTGATGACATCATAATGACGTCATACATGCTCTTCCCATCATCCAATTTTTTGCGTCCGTCTTTTTTTCGAAAAGGTATACCATGGAGATGCTTTGGTGAAAAAATGGTGCTTTTGTCCACCGTGTCACGATTTTTTCACTAAGGTACCTCACTAACCCCTGTAAACAAACTGTAAAAAAACCTGTAATCTTGCACACCCTGCCACGGTTGGTTTTTTATGCACGCTGTCATCGACCTCCAAGAAATTCCCTATTGCATTGTGACGTCAAGCGCAGAAACACTCCTTAGAGAGAGAGTCGGAGATGCTAAATGCAATTTTAAGACCGGTAAAGGCTTTGAGAGATGCCCGGGGAAAGTCTCCAAATGCAATTTATTTCTTTCTGATGCAGAGCAAGCCCTGTCCACGCTTTATTTAGATAAAATTTATTTGATTTTAAACAAAGAAAACAAAAGTCTGTCCAGCGGTGTTCTTACTTTATTATTCAACTTCGCAGTCAGGTTTTGTGATCTTTCTGAAATCTCCAAGGAGTGTTAGATAATGCTGTCTTTTCTCTACGAAAAAATGTACATGTGTTTAAAAACCTGAGAAATTGCACTTTGTTGAGTTTAAAGTAATGACCGTAGACATCTGCTTTGCGGTTTTGGAACGTGTCATGATCTGCTCAAGTTGCACTATGTCTTGTCATGTGCAATTTGTGCATAAATGTTGAAACATGTGACATTTGCATGTAGTGGGGCATGTTAAAATACCGCCGCATAAATGTCAGATGGTATCAGAATGATGAGGTTCTTGGATGGAATTTTTTTTTTGGGGGGGGGGGGGGTGCCTAAAGTGGGATCTTTTTAAACTTGGTAACAGAAAAACTAGCAACTGTTTTGGCCAACATTCTGTTACAACAATTCAAATTTTAACAGGATCATTTTGTAAAAAGTGAATTTTAAATTTCAACCGTCTGCCATATATTTTTTTTGTGACTGTAATTTTGTAATGGTTGATGCCAATTCCGAATTTATTGTAAGACTTAAACAACAGTTCTGCTTCATAACTTCCTACAGGGGTTCTGTCTCAGAAATTTATCTTCCGATACATGAACAAGTCCACGTTTTGGCTGTTTAATTATTGGATGCACGAGTCAAAACAGAATTTGAGCTTTCATAAGTGTCAGCAAAATGTCTAGTCTACACAGCAGATTTAAAAACACTTGATGTAAAAAATGAAGAATTGAAAAGAAATCATTAGAATGAACAGTTTAAACATAACTTTCTTTCGGCAGGTGCTTACATGTACATCTGTTTGTGATATTAGGAGCACATTTTAAGCGATATGAATTGAAGTCATAAAGACGTAAGGTTCATAAGTAATACATTCAGCATACCACTATGCTTCGTGCATTCATCGCATGTACATTTTGACCTACATGTGTTTCTCTGGCAGTGAATTTGCACAGTACATGAGCGTCCAGGGGCTCAACAAAAACAAATGAATTGTCCGTGTGACAGGCAGCAGGGAAACAAAAACAACAGAATCAGCCGTCTTTGACAAACAAACAACGGCGGAGCAGGAGGTAGATTCACGACCGCCCAATCAATGCGGGAATAAACTCGCCCGGCAGTTTTTAATTTATGGATCCCGTGCCCAATCAATACCCCAGCGCAGAGGGACGGAAGCGGGCGCTTGATTTGCCCCCGAGGCGTAGCCACTCAGCTCCGGCTCAGCCAGAGAAGGGGGTGGGAGGGGTACTGTCTATACTACCGCCGCGGATGTGCACGCGCGACGTGCTGAACATCTAATGGACCGGAATGAGGTTTTGGCGAGGGAAGAATGGTAGCTTTAGGGTGGAAAGGGGTAGGAAGGGGGGGGGGGGTTTGAAAGGGAGGTTCAGTGTCAAAATCTTCCGGTAGGATTGCAAGGGGCTCGGGAATGAATGGGGATTGCTTTCCGTGCGTGGACAAAGCGTAACATCAGTCACGGCTGAAGTGTCTGTTCGGTATACCTGTGGGGAGGTTTGGGGGGGGGGGGAGGGAAGTAACAGAGTATGTGCACGTCGTTGCTCAGTGTGTTGATCCCAGATCAAATGGGGTTATGCAAAGGAACAACATCCTGAAGAAGTGCACCTGACTTTCCAAATAAGCCCTAACGCTGTCAGGCAAATGAAATGTATCCTTAATATGTTTTGCCAGGGTGGTGTGGTGTTGGCCTGTTTTTCAACCATTTGTTCAGCCTGAACCTAATATAGTAAAGCCATTTTTTTCCTCACATTTTTTGAGGAAAAAATTAAATACATTCGGAGGAAAATTCAGTACATTTTGGAGGGAAAATCACGCATCAGATTTTAGATTTCCAGGCAATTTGTCTTTCAGATGTTCGAAAATATTTGGACAAATTGAATATGTTGCTGAAACAAACCATAGTATTTTTTGCTTGTCTCTGAGTCCTAAAGTCCTATTCGCACCTCATTGTCATCTCATTGACTGACAGTCATCTCATTGACTGACTGACCGACACACTGTCACTTGTGAGCCGGGCAGTACCATCATATAGGTTTACCAATGAATAGATTACATATACTGTGCCCTCTGACCGCTTTTAATAGACTTGCCTACTTTTTAAAAATCTTTTACTGGCAAGAAATTCAAGTGTTCAACAGTGAATTGTTGAGCGTAGTGTTTCCTCTGGTTCTCTCGTGAAATGTAAACCTGTAAAGTGTTTTGACAATTTGCTGAAGGATCCTAGCCAGTTTCTTTTGGACTCATCCTCATGTGTTTCTTTTCTTTCCAGTCAAGATCTGGGGCTGTCAAGCAGGCTTCAGTGCCGAAATTACCAAAGTAAGTAACAATCTCTGATAACGGTGTTTCAAATTTGGAAAATTGACACCTTTATTTATTCAGTTTTCTGTATAAAACCTTAAAATGCTGTTTTCAAATTGTCTAATTCAGTTTTTTTGAATGATAAAAATTATGGCTTTTGGATATAAAGCAAATTTTGTATAAACTCCCTCACCCCATCCTCACCCCCATCCTCACCCCAATCCCCACCCCAATCCCCACCCCTACTCTACCTCCAACCCTTGCCCAATACCACTCACATCCCTCGTCTATTTTTTATCAATTACTGGCAAGAATTTTTTTTGGAATAATACAGTGTTTTACATTTGGATAAAATAAAGGTGTCAAATGTGGGGTGCTGTGGTCCAATGGTTACGGTGTTCGACTCGTGTGCTGTGGTACATGGGTTCGAATTCTGACCGTGGGAACATGGTGCTTGTGCTCTTGAGCAAGGCACTTTACCATTATTGCTTCGTCCTTCGGATGGGACGTAAAGCCGTAGGTCCCGTGTGTTGTGTAATGCACGTTAAAGAACCCAGTAACACTTATCGCTAAGAGAAGGGGTTTGCCCCGGTGTTTCTGGCAGTGGCTGCAATGTGCGCCGCAGCGCCTTGTAAACCCTTATAAGGTGCTACATAATGGGTCTCATATTTCTCATAAACTTTATTTACCTTTCTTTAAAAATAGACATATCTCCAGCGCCTTGAGTACCTAATAGTTGGTAGATACGTGCGCTATATAAGACTCCGATATTATTATTATTATTATTATTATCCCAAACTTTATTTATATTTGGACAGATTTTGGAGCGAAATGTAGAAAAGAAACTTGCACTGAGGTTTCACAACAGAGATCAAGAACTCAACTCAGACATTTTGTTTGGTTGTTGTCCCTGGGCAGGATTGTTTACTGTGACAAAAATTGTTTTGATCCGTATGTTCATTTAAAAATACCGATACTAGTCTCCTAACAACCTCTGGTTGAACTGTTACTTCACACTCCCTTTCCCTCCGAGATCTGTGTTTATTACACCACCTGCGCTCAGGCGGACAGGAAAACAAAAACCCCGGTCACTTGAATAAAAGATGACGATTGTACGACGGGTTTACACTTCGGGTTTATGCTTCCCAGTGCAGCGCAAACGGCCATCGACACCTCGGGAACACTTCTCCCCCCCCCCTCAATGACGCTTTGCGTCACTTGTCAGGCGCAACGACTCGGCAGCAAAAGGCAGATGGGGCCCTTTGCTTTGAAATGCTATCATGGCCCATTGTGAATATTCTGACGTCGTCGTGTTGCTATTCTGACTAGCCCTGCGTTTTTTTTGTCTTGCTTTTAATCCTCTTGCTTTTATCCAGGCATGCCATTGAAAAACGGGGCATTGTTGGAGAAATCACGGGTGTTGCTATGGCAACGCTCTACAAATGTCAGCCTTTGCTAAGGCTTTGGCCTTGTCTCATCTAAGATGAAAATCAGTTTACATGTACATCTGACATTTGCAACTCGAGGATAAATTTTTGAACAGAAAAATTATTTACGGAGGCATCGTGTTCCTGGGCTTCTGTATCATGTACATATTTACTTGTGCACGCGATATTGCAAATCGTTACCAGTTTTAGACAATTTTTCATGGGATCTTTTAGTAGAAAACAGTTTTTTTCTCAAGTCTGTCGTTAGGAAAACAAGGAGAGGGGATGTTTTCAATTTTTAATATTTGAGAGTGGGAAAGGAACAAATAAGATAGACAAAAATCCATAAATGTATTTTTTTACAACCAAAAGGGGGTTACATTAAAAACTGTTACAAGGAACATCATGAATATTTTTGAATTAATACTTGTACTTGCAGGTTGTAAAAAAAAAATAGAATGACAAATTGTAACCTATAATTATGCAGGCTACTACATATGTCTGATCAAATCTACCAGGTACCCATACATATCTTCTGCATCCACTCACAAATTTTTCATGGAAAGCTGTTTTTGCAACAGCAAATCCACCCCCCTCCTCTATAATTCCTTTCAGCCGACGCCTTCCAAGATTTATGACTTTACATCGGATTAGCCCAGGCATTAAGAAGAGTCCCATCTGCAACCGCTGTGAGCCAGACGGAAGAACCTCTGACATTTTTGGGTTATTTTTTTTCCCCGCAACGGCGCAATCACGATTGGATGTCCGTCACCTGATGCAATATGAAAAACTTGATGTGATGCGTTTTGGATCGTTAGTGTCATTGGTTCGACGCCAAAACCTCTGGAATTGATTAGGAACTTAGTTTTGGATAGATACACGTAGAGGTCCATACTTTTATAGATGAAGCTCCCTGCAGTAAAAAAAAAAAAAAAGTTGTATCATGTTTCGAAGAAAACATCTGTTATATATAGCATGTGACATTTATGCAAGCATTTTTTTTAACATTAGAAACATTTGCAGGCCTCTGCAAAACTGCTTGTCAACTTGGAATGACCCAAATTACATGTACATGATTAAGTTACAAGGGCAGATACTTGAGTTTCTTGAAGAATCGCTCTTCTGGCTGAAGGGGGGAAAAGATGGAAATATCAAGTTGCCTTCTTTACTTTGTGATAGTACAATGGGACTTTACTGAACATTGTGTTTCAACGTTTCAGTGAAAAAAGAACAGAAAATGTCATTGCCCCTAATACAGGGTGAGTCAAAAAAAGCGGAACCCAAACCCCCCAAAATATATTTCATATTTAAAAAAATATGTAGCACCATAAATAATAATGACTGGAAAGCCAATTTCATGACCTACTTTTAGATGGAAAAAATTCTGAAATTGGTCAATCCATTCAAAGAATATTACCATTGAAACACAATGACCCTAAAACCTGTCTCGTCCAAAAAAAAGAAGCTTTTTATTGTGTGTTTTGACTGTTGGGAACAATGTCCAAAGAAAATGACACAGAATACTTGTTTCAACAACTGTCACCAACTGTAGTACACAATATCTTGATTAACAACCCTGGTTAGGCAAACTATATGATTTATAAAATCTACTTTTTTTAAAAGATGGGCCTTCAAAAGGCCTTTGTTTCATATTGCTAACGTTCAAAACTGAGTTTTTATCACTGGTGATGCTTGAAGACAATTGTGACGGCGATTTTTTAAATTGCATTTTTTTGACGTGACAGGTTTTAACGTCATTGTGTTTAAGTGGTGATATTCTTTGAGCGGATTGAGCATTTCAGTACTTTTTTTCCAACCAAAAGCAGCTTAAGAAATTGACTTGCCAGTCATTAATGTTGTTGCTACATATATTTTTAAATATGAAATATAATTTTTGGCGCTGGGTTTCGCCTTGTTTGATCACCTTGTACTACACAGCATTGGATTTTGTAGCATACAGAAGTTTCTTAAAGGGAATGTACAACTTTTGCTTTTGCTGCAATTTTCAGAAATAAACGAATTTGGGGGATCAGTATGTTATAGCAAATATTGTTAAAATAACTTGTTTCACGTTCTGGGCTTGTAGATGCTGGAAAAACCAAGAAAACCAATCATGTTCTTGTAGTCCGGTTCCTTGACCCCACTTAAGATGAATCGGAGCAATTTATAGACTTTGGGGAATTGTAAGGTCAGAGAATCAGTCTAGAAGGCTTGTACCCCTTCAAAGGTGTGTAATCAATTGCAAAGAAAATGCGGAATAACTAATTAGGAAAAATCAGGAGCAGTTTTTAAAAAAAAGCCAGTTTTCTCCAATGCTGGTCGGCTGACCAGCGTTGGAAAAAAACCCATTTTTCTTGAAAATGTAAGCACACCAGGAGCCACGATTTTACAGGATGCTTTAGACTGTCATTCCCTAACATCTATCTCGTGATAATTTGATCATTTCGTTTTGTGATGTCTGCAAATGTTGTGTCTTCCCTTTAAATGTAACAAACAAATCTAAAGAAGTATTTACAATTGTACATTTTTTGTTTTCCCCATTTCAGGATAGTAATCTGCTAGTCATGGGAGCAGCTGGAAGCTTCTATTTACAGGGTAAGAACAACTCTGTTTGTAACGTTACTTCCAATGTTGCTGGCAACAAAGAAGGAAGCTTAGGCTAAAAAAAAAAAAATATTCGGTCTCTGGTCAGACCAAAGTTCTGGATTTGACGCAGCGATGCTGCTTTTTTTTTTTTTTCTTCAAGCTTGGATTGTACAGACAAGGTGGGGTACTATTTTGCTTTTTTGGTGTCCTCATGTACATTGGTGTCCTCCATAATTTGCCTTGGTGCTTTCGATCATTTGCCTTGGTGCAATTTCCCATTCCTTGGTGCTCTTTGGTAAAAAAAATTGAGGAGGTGCGGAAATAGAGGGCGCTGTTGGAGCTACCGCGGAACATTTTGGAAAAAAAAAAGATTGACGCGCATGATTAAAATCGACGCGTGCGCTGACCAGAGACCGACTTATTATTTTTTTTGACCTTAGTTATCTTTTTTACCATTACTCTCTGATGACCATTGACCACCAAAACTTTCTTTTGAGTTGAACATCGACGCGCCCCCCCCCCCCCAAAAAAAGGATGGTTTTTTTCAGAGCCAAGAACATTTGCATTTGTCAAAATGTATCTTGTCAAAAGCACACAATTAACAGTATCACTTTCATGTCCTCAATGAACCGTTTTATTGGAAAACCTATCTGCACAATGTAAACATCATAATCTGTTTCTGGGAAGGATTGCTATGTCAATGAATGTTCCTTTGTGTCTGGCATCACCATGTTTTTATTCCTCCATGGTATCACCACGCCCTACCCCAACTGCCTTCACACATTGCCTCTGATAAGTATAGCTTGAGGGTGGTTTCTCCCCCCCCCCCCCCCTCGTAAACTGGAGCCTGATGGATCGCCCCAGCTGAGGATTATTAGATGATTGATAACACTTCCTCTGGGTTGATTGTATGTGTCAGCTCAGCTGGCACAGTAGGAATGTATTACAGCTCTGTCATGTGGAGCCACACCCCTCTTTACTTATCCCCCAGCATAACTGAAGGGCTCACTTGGGGGGGGGGGAGCAAAGCCCCAAAGCCTTTAAAGGTAAAGTCCATCATTTGTAATTTGTGCATTTTGTTCGTTTGAAGCAACAAAAGTGCTCAAGATCTAAAGAAGCCCCAAAGCCTTTAAAGGTAAAGTCCATCATTTGTAATTTGTGCATTTTGTTCGTTTGAAGCAACAAAAGTGCTCAAGATCTAAAGAAGGGTGCTGAACAACTGACCTGATGAAGTTTCAGCTCAGCTTCAGCTGTATATTTCGAGAAAAACAACATTCTAGGATCTCGATTTCAAATCAAAAGTTGCTGAAGCATGTTTTGAATTGGGCCTGAATTCAGCGTCCGAGACACTCACTGAGCCGATTGCAGCTACGCGATGTCGCGCACTGATCCGACGAATTATAGCAACGGCGCGCACGTGTGCGTCTTGCCAATGCTTGCGCGCTTCGCCGAATAACAAAACAAACTACTAATTTGAATTTCCTACGGTGCTTCTTAAGAAGCACCGTTGGAAAGGCCTTCTTTCGTTGATTACTTCAAAATGACAGCTTGCCAGAAAGAATAATTTCACAGGGAGTTTAGTCCCCTTACTATCTTGCAACCAAGTATGCTTTTTAACAATAATTACGCCAGTTACTTTTTGGATAGCTGCAAATGATGGACTCGGGCTTTAAAAAAAAATAAGGTAGGCCCCCCCCCCTCCCTGACTTTGACCCTTTCTGACCTCTCCAGCCCCACCCCCAAAACAGGAGGGATCATCAGCAAAACAGTTAACCTCATTGAACAAACTTCTCATGATCAACATTCGTGTGTCATCGTCTGAATACATCCCCCCCCCCATTACCTTTGCACGTAATCATGCGCAAATGGTGGGAAATTTAATAACGGTTAAATAAAATGCCAATTTCCCCCCCTGTGGCCTGTGAACAGGTTGGGGCCACCGCAAAATGTTACATCCTTAGTAAGTGTGACATCAATGTGTATGAACTGCTTTTTGGTTTCTTTTTCTAACTTATTTCTCGTGTATAGGTCAAATTTACGTCCAGAATCTTGTGTCGAATGCCGCACCGCTAGCTACTCCAGAGTTGCCGCCAACATTTGACGACAGTTATAGCGGTGAGAGTTGTTCCTTTTCAGGTGTACATTTTTTTGCCCAGGAGTTCAAAGTGAAGAAAAAAAAGTGGAGAAAAAAAAATGGTTGAAATTCCAGTGTTTGTTGCGTGTCTGTCCTGCCCCAAGTCTCGATAAAATACTGCAACACAAACTACTCCAAGTTACATATTCATCGTTTAGATTTCAGAACTGTTTGTAAAATTTTTCTTGTCTTTTTTTGTCCCGTTACCTTCAATTTAGCACATTGAACATTTTTCTAGATACCAGCACTTTTATAAGATTGTTTATTTGGTGTTCCAGAGAGTTCACGGTCAAGCACACAGTAAACAGAAATAAAGTTTACAATACTGCGCACATAAACAAAAATCATATGTGCACAGAACATGTATGACACACTAAAAGGCCAAAAAAAAAAGTCTCCGGTTTCTGGTATGCGCGCGCGTCGCCGTAGCCATGCGCGTCGGCAAAATGAAAAAGTTTTTTTTTCAATGAAAGATGATGTCTCAAAACCGCCAAACTCACTGGTTTGACTGGAATCCTGCTGCTGCACAATTTTAACGTGTTTTTAGATTGGGTTATGGTCGAGAATAAGCTTTATGTGGCCTCTCTGGACTCCCATATATTTGCACTAAGTTTAGTCGGGCACCATTTGCAGTCATCAGCCGACATTTGAAGCAAAAAAATCAGGTAAAAAAAAAAAAAAAAGCCGCGTCGCCGCACCACTTTTTGGGCAAGCTCCATACCAGAAACCGGAGACTTTTTTTTTTGGGCCTAAGCAGCACTTGTTTGGCAGAATGTTCGGAATATTGTTTGTACATGTCTAAATAATCCCGACACTTGTATTGTCTATCATGTCACATATTGGATGCAAAAAGTGGTGGGCAGCCATGAAAAACAAGCCGTAAAACATGTCCATTCAATTCAAGGTCACTAGTTCATAAGGTGGTCAATGGTAGAGTGACCACATGTCTGATTGACCATAGACTGACCGGTCATCTTCCACCACTGTGAGAACATTGACATAACCTGGACAGGTGTCGTTATAAAGGCAATCAATTTATTGGTCACCTTGGACAAGTACATGTAGCAGTCTCCTGTCAAGACAGTGGTATGACCATCAACACAATTCTTATCCACAAAATATAAGTATCCGGCTTTTTTCAAAAGCCCTGGATGATTGATCACCGGTGCCCTGCTCTCAAAGAAGTCACAGGTGCCTCAGCTGGTCACCGGTGCAGCGTTGCAACAGAGGATGTTGATTGCTTTATTGGAGAATGAATAATTCATTGCGCATAGTAATCAGTTTATTTCCGAGTACGTAATACCCCTTACAAACCTCGCATCTATTTAAATGTAAAAGCCTGACCTTTTCGCCTCTCTCTTTTGTAATTATAAATAATTGATGTAAATTAAAATAGAGATATAGCCTTGAAATTGAGGATGATTGTGAAATACAGGAGATGGCTTTCTTTCCTAGAATGTAATGAAATTTATCTTCTACATGTAGGTATCAGTCAAATATTATTCAATATCAATGCACTTCTGAACTTTAATTTTCAAATACATGAACATGTATGTACATATACTTGGCAATATACAACATGTGCTTTTGCTGTAATTTAATAATTAATAATCAGAAATGGATGGATTTGGGGTTAGTATTTGTAGAAAATATTGCTACACTGGCCTGTTTAAAGTTTTCAGTTCATAGATGCTGGGGAAAAAACAAGAAAAAAAATGTTGTTTTTGTGTAGTCTGCTTCCCTGAGCCTAGTTCAGACGAAACAGAGCAATTTATAGACGTCGGGGTATTGTCAGGTCGGGGAACCAGACTAGCTGGCTTGCACCTGTTTTGCAAACAAAATGTGGACTGACTAAATTTGGTTAATTCGGGGAAGTAATTGAAAAAAATCAGTTTTTTTTCCAATGATGGTTGGCAGATCAGCATTGGAAATTGTTACAAAAATTATATTTTTCTTGAACTTATATGACAGCACATCATGATATCACACCAAGTAAGGTATTTCATAATGATTAAGTACTTTTGTCTTTTTATGTTTGCAAATGTTGTAAATTACCTTTGAAGTATGCGTGGTATAATTTACTCTTAAAGAATGGGGGGAAAGAGTTTTTTATTACCATTAAGAATTTTAGTGTTGAAATTGACAAAAAAATGATATCCCCCTCCAGGATTGACGCCAGTGGCTGCATGTACATGTAAGTACATCAGGGACGGACCAAAAAGGAAAAAGTCAGAAATTATTTTCGTTTTTGTTCTGTGTTCTTGTTTCAGGTTTTGATGTGGCATTAGGGGATTTCACTGGTGACAGTCAACCGGAATATGTCGTGGGAGCTCCACGGGGAAATTATCTCGCTGGCAAAGTGAGTGACTTTAACCAGACAGCTGGACAGTGTTTGAAAGCAAAAGTGACCACTTTTTCCCCCAAGAATAACAGGTTTCATTTCCTGGTATTTTGTTTTGATGGCAATTCCGGATGACACCTGTCTTGCAATCTCTGTAATTTTATTTGAACACAGTTAACACTTTCCATTTTACCCCAGTTTTTCCTTGATTCATGAAGGAAATGATACTCTTGATACCAAGAAAAAGAGGTGTTTGATTTCAAATTTAACTTCATTATATGCTTGATTGATTCAAAGTGTTTTTCAAAGTTTTTGAATGATTGGAAACATTTTTGCTGCTTTTTCACAATTCCCTGATAAAAAGTTTGTATGAAACTCTGTTGTACGGGCGGGGATAAGAAAGTGTCCTTTGTGTATTTTGTTCGCCAATTTTTTTTCCAGAATATTCATACAGTGAAAACTCTGATAACTCAAAGCAACTGTTAAGTCAAACAAAGAATCCATTCCCTTCAGTAGTATAACAATGATATACAACCCTGCTTAACTCAAAACTCTGCTTAAAGGGAATATACAACATTTGCAATTATCAAAAAATAAAACTACCAAGTTTTTACGAAATACCTTACTAGGATGTTGGTAAATGACAGTCTAAAGCATCCTGTAAAATTATGGCACCTGGTGTCAAGTCATTTTCAAGAAAATGGTATTTTTGTACACATTTCCAACGGTGGTCGGCCGACCAGCGTTGGAAAAACCTAACTATTTTTCAACTACTGCTCCAAATTTACCATTTTTTCAGCCCAAATTTTGTTTGCTATTGGTTACATGTTCATGAACGGGTGCAGGCCAGCTAGACTGGTTCCCTCGCCTTACAATTTTCCATCATCTATAAATTGATCCATGTTATCTTCTGTGGAGTCAAGGAACCAGACTACTTGAACATTTTTGTTTTTCTTGGTTTTTCCAACCTTTTCGAACACAAAACTTAAAAAATGTCAGTGTAACAATATTTGATCTATTATACTAACCTCTCAAATAGTTCATTTCTGAAAATTACAGCAAAAGCCAATGATGTACATTCCCTTTAAGTCAAATTTTGAACCTGTTCCCTTGAGGTTTGACTTTATCAAGATTTCACTGAATATCCATAGCTCCCTAATCACAGTGCCAATTATTACCCTACCGTTCAGGTCACTATCTTTGACACGGAATTGAACGAGCTGATGGAACTGAGAGGGGAACAGACCTTCTCCTACTTTGGCCACACCGTGGTCGCCGAAGACCTCAACGGAGACGGGTAAGCGACCCTTACGAGTGACCCAAAGAGGGTGCTATTGCACTTCATGCATTTGACATTGACACTGACGTTTCCTTTGCGCTTTCTTAGATTGGATTCATTCTTCGACCATGCTTTTTTTGCCATTGAGGCGGATGGAGAGCATCTTATGGCGATAAAGGAGATTGCCCTTGTGCATGACGGCAAGAGGGCGCTGTTGCTGCTTTTTTTTGCAGTTGACAATGACTGTCCTTTCCTTCATGCTTTCCACATAGCAATGTTGTATTGCAGTACAGTGTTCAAGTAATTTAAAAGTCATAGGCCCTTCACCATGAAGAAACAAACTGATTACAAATAAAGTTTTTGCCTTCTTTATGCGGTAAATCAAACCCTTACTCATAGGAGCATTTTCCATGCACTTGTACTCAAATTTACAGGGAAATGTTCCCATGTATTTGTTCCGTACTCCACAAATTTCACCAAAAGGGGAAATATAGTCTCTTCTAAAAGCTGCTTTTCAGTATTCAAGGCGTAGCTTCCTGATGGTCTGATTTTAAAGGCGTGTGTTGTCTCAGTCAATATTTCGTCTTAAACATCCCCAAATAACCAGAGGGGAAATCGACCGACACACATTTGCGGAGTGGATACAGGCATCCCAGACATTTCAAGTTGTCTTTGGAGAGGCCCCAAATGTGTTAGTTTAGCACTCGGCAGTTACAAGTCTTGTTGAAACTTGGCGCTTTTTGAAGTATTTGTTATTTTTGGGGGGCTGTTTCCAAGTTTACCTTGTCGTTACTGTTAGTATTGACACTAGCAGGCACCGGTTTCACGCTCTATCATTTTGTAGTACTGTTTGCCTTTACTTACATGTACGTCTTTTATTTGTTTTTGCAACTCACCTCTGTTTTTACTGTACACATTCTGTAGAAACTGCCCTGTCACAATTTTATCATCAAAAAGGAAACGTTGTTTTTAGATACTGATCAAAAAAATCAAGATGCCATCAGTTCAGGTTCTGCCTGACTGAATTTTTTTCTCACAAATAAAACATCAGTGGGATGCAGTTGCCATAGCAACCTGATAAGAACAAAATTCCAATATTACTGGCAACTGTTTATGAAAATGGTTTCCTTCTTTAACACATCATTGTGTTCAAATCAGACTTAATAAGTGGTCGTCATGCACACATGTTACCATGACAACCGCTCAGTCTTGCTCTAACCTTGGCAACGAGCTGTTGTTACTGTGGCAACATGATATTATCTGTGACCTCAGCAACCAAAAAATTGTCAGTTAACGCTAGACTGCACTGAATTAGAATAAAAAAAATCCATAAGAATTTGAGATATTTCTTTGACTTGTTTTCGTGATTGATGTGTGGCTCCGTGCAGGTTGGATGACGTCATCGTTGGAGCTCCTTTGTACTCTGACAGGAGGACCACGGTGGAGAAATGGGAGGCGGGAAAGGTGTACATCTACTACCAAAATGCAGACGTGAGTCCTCAAATCTTTATTTGTCAAAAAACATCTTGAAAACCACAAAATTAAAACAAAAAGAGTCTTTTGTTGGGGACTGGGACTTTGCTGGGGACATTTTAAATTGTGTATTCCATAATTTTTATCATTATAATTTTTAATTTTTTGTTTTTTTACCCTAACAGCATAGTTTTTCCGAACCCAGTACTATCACCGGGGAGATGATTAGGTCACGGCTGGGGTCATCCATTGCGTCGCTAGGAGACGTCAATCAGGATGGCTACAATGGTAATGATTGGCTGGGATTTCACCTCATGAATATTAATGAGCTAAGATTCAAATTTCGTCGTTCAAAAATTTATTTTAATCTCACTTAGCTGCGTATTGTTTTTGGTGGCTAACAGAAATTCCCAGTCTGGTTCCCAGACTACCTTATTCATGTGTCCTTGCTGTAGTTCAGATACAGATCGGATGTAGTTTTGTTCTCAAACAGTACATTGCCCTCTGTGTCTTTAGGCCAAAAAAAAAAAGTCTCCGGTTTCTGGTATGGAGCTTGCCCCAAAAGTGGTGCGGTGACGCGGCTTTTTTTTTTTTTTTTACCTGTTTTTTTTTTTTTTTTTTGGCTTCAAATGTCGGCTGATGACTGCAAATGGTGCCCGACTAAACTTAGTGCAAATATATGGGAGTCCAGAGAGGCCACATAAATCTTATTCTCGATCATAACTCCTTCTAAAAACACGTTAAAATTGTGCAGCAGCAGAATTCCAGTCAAACCAGTGAGTTTGGCGGTTTTGAAACATCATCTTGTATTGAAAAAAAACTTTTTCATTTTGCTGACGCGCATAGCTACGGCGACGCGCGCGCATACCAGAAACCGGAGACTTTTTTTTTTTGGCCTTAGCTGTGTTTTTTTAATTTTCTTTGCTTTGCTTTGCTTTTGTGTTCTTTTTGTTGTTGGCCTGCTTTTTATCTATCTGTCTGTTCTGCCAAATCCCCCTCTTCTATTTTGTACCTCAATTGTCTTTCTCACCAAAGTCACCATTCATAATTTTCTTTCAATATGTCAGACATAGCCATCGGGGCACCATACCAAGGTGAGGATCAGGCAGGCGTTGTGTACATCTACTACGGGACACCAAACGGTCTGCGGCTCCGAAGCTCACAGGTAAAGCACACCATTTGCTTGCCTTCTGTGAGATCAAAATTATTTATTATAGGGGGATACGAACCCACAACCAGCAGAAATCTGAACTTGTGCTCTACCAACTGGACATACCCTCTGACTAAGTTTTGTTCTACCTTAAACTCAGAGCATATTTGCAAGTCTTTATTTATGACTCCAAAAAATCTTTTTCTGGTATGAAATTCCCTGAATCTTCCAAAATCCTCCAATGTACAGTAAGCAACTGGCACATAGTTCCACTTTTAATTTCATTTTTTTCTTCTCCCAAATCAGGTTTTGACGCCCGCAGATTTCAACCTTAAGAATGTTACAACGTTTGGCTTCTCATTGACTGGAGGGTTGGATATGGACGAGAATAACTACCCAGGTACACCAGAAAAGATGAAATGGATTCATTATATTCCTCAATAATGTACCAGAACCTTAGCTTGCAAGCCTGAGAACCCTAGAGAACAAAGACAATTAAAGGGGCACTAGGTCCTGAAATCTCCGAAAATTTCATATTTTGGATTGTTTACTTATCCTATTTCAAACATGTGGTTGAAAGGAAACCAACCTAATGTCTTACCGTTCCCGAGAAAAGAGGAAAAATCCCCGCTTGTTTACATCGGACACGACGCGACGGAGTACGAATACATTTTTCGTGTCGTTCCCATACAGTGTACCATATACACGTTGTGTGTCTCGGGAACAGTGGTGACCAAACACCAATGCAAAAAAATGTGGTTTCTTCAACGTCCGCAAAAGGCGAACACTTTACGAATGAAATCACAACAAGCATCCAAACTGCTCGAATTTATGGGGGTCACAAAAGTGGACCCCGAAATTCGTTCTCGCACGCATAATACAGGAATAACACAAAAACGCCCAGTTTTCAAAGGATAGTTGTGTGGATGTTTATATCCTAGTTTTAAATGTTATTTCCAATTAACATAATCTTGTTCAAAGCACGTTTTGTAGCCCAATTGGGCTGTTCCAGGAACTAGTGTCCCTTTAAAGGATCCTTGAAATGAATTTTTCTTAGGATCATATTTTGTGTAACTTTCTACTCGTCTTAAATGTATGAAAAACTGTTTGACATCCCTTTTTGGTTAGTTTTATTGAAAAGTACACTTCTTTAAAACATTAAAATATAATAAATGTCCATGCTGTTCTAGACAACCGAGGGCGCTTTATTACATATTTTCATAAATTTTCTTATCATTTTCACCCTCTTTTCCGTTTTTTTTTGGACAGATCTTTTAATTGGAGCTGAAAACTCAGATTTAGCAGTACTAGTACGGTAAGCCTTGACCACAATTTTTTTTAAAAGCTTCATTATATATTTAAAAAAAAAATTATTATTTTTGAAATTAATTGAGAGCTGCATCATTCATACCATAGTTTCAAAAATGGAAACTCAATTTTGAGAAATGTGTCATAAAAACTAGGGGCGTCACTCGCTTCTCAAAAGTGGGGAGGGGGGACATACCTTGATCAGAACTGATGCGAGCACAAAGCCCTTACGGCGTGGGGTTCGGGGCCCGCTTAAAGGCCCCGGAAAAAATGGATTCTAGATGCTCTGTGGTGTGATCTGAGGCAATTTCTGACCACTTTAACTAATATTTTCTTAGCAAAAGATAATAATTTAAACATCATTCTCAAGGCTGTAGTCATTGGATAAGCTATGGTATTCTCAACTAAAAAAAGGCGTAGGGTTCGGGGCCCGCAAACATTTTGGATTCTAAATGCTCTGTGTGCGATCTGAGGCAATTTCTGACCGCTTTAACTGATATTTTCTTAGCAAAAGATTTGTGTAGTACATAAAAGGGCCCTGTAAATGAGACACGAGTTCAAAAATCTGGAGGGAGGGGGGGGGGGGACATTCGATATTGTGTCCCCCATCCTTCCAAAAGTGGGGGGGGGGGGATGTCCCCCTGTCCTTCCCAGGACTGACACCCATGTAAGAAACAAAAACAAAAAAGATTTGTCAATAGTTTTGTAATTATTGACAGAAAAAAAACTGTTCAAAAGTTGTGCCTTATCCTGTATGGAGACTAATAGTACGGCAGATGGGCGATGGGATTGTGCCTTTGATGATACAAGCATGGCATTTGGCACACAGTCAGAGAATGTTTTAAGAAAGATATTTGGCCGTAGGGCCATCGCAGACTTGTCATTTGAAAACACATACATGTACATACAATAACAAGCAGTGACAGCAATGTTGCGATGGCCCTATAGCCAAATATCTTTCTCATGACATGCACCGACTGTGCGCCAAATGCCATGCTTGTACAGGGTTCGACCTTAACTTTTTTGTTCACTAGCCAGCCGGGCTACTGAAATGGACTCTTAACTAGCCCGCAGGCATTTTCACTAGCCCGCATTTTTTTTTTTCTTATCTCAAATACAAAATTGCGTATTTTCAGGCTCAATTCTGAGACAATTTTGTCATTAACAGATCTAATAATTTAACCCTTTAAAACAGTTGATAAAATTAGACACAAATTGATGGGGTTTTCTTTCTGAATTTAATGATTTATTTCTTCCTGTACGTTCATCTTTGCCGTATCCCAATAATTTTTCACTCGCCAGCCGGGCTAGTTAAGGAATAGTTTGACTAGCCCGCCGCTGTTTCGACTAGCATTTGGCTAGCGGGCTACCGCTAATTTCGAACCCTGTTGTATCATCAAAGACACATTTCCCCCAACTATTTCCCCCATCTGTGCCACTATAATAAATGGTCACCATCCATTGGTTTGAATATTGATGTAATTGTTATTTCTCTTGAATTTTTTTCTGATGTGTTTTTTCCCCTCCTTTTTCCCCCTTTCTTCCCAGGGCTCGACCAGTCATTTCCATAGCAGCTGTCCTATCTATCAGCCCAGAAGGAATCAACTTGGACAACAAAAGCTTAATTCTTCAAGATGGCACACCAGTGACAAGGTGCAGTATAAGAAAGACACAAAACAAAATATTGTAAAATTAAGGCATTTTCCAAATATGATATTTTATGGCGTAGGGTGTGGCTTGGGCGCCTGTTTATTCAGCGAGGTTTGTGCGCTTGCGCGCTGATATGCAAATGTAGGTAAACAGAGGTGAGGTTTTCCTTACTAGAATGGAAAGTCCCTTTGGATTTTAGATATTGTATGGTTGTGGCTTGTAAGCCATTGGTGTGCCATGGTGAATAGCCATAGGCACAGCCTTACTATTCATTAATCAAAGAAAACAAAATTCTTTCCATTGGACAAGTTACAACACAACTTGTTGCTTTTGTTAAAACTAATGCCGGGAAGTTTGAACAGGCAAGTTTGAAGTACGGCAAATTGCAAAACTTCAAAACTTTGATGTACTACACCGAAAAGGTTTTGGCCTAAATTCCAAGTAATTTTTTATGTTTATGTTTTGTTTTCTTGGTTTTCACTTTTGTGTTGTTTTCACTTTCGGCTTTGCTTTATCTCAGTCCTTGTACCTTCTGGAAGCTGTGTGTTTACCTTATCATTGTACAATGTTTCCTGTGTATATGATCCCTTCTTTTTTCTTCCCTTTCCAGTTTTGAAATCACTTCCTGTTTTACATACAAAGGGAAACATCTCCCAGACACTGCACGTAAGTAGTTACTCCTTATGCCCCCCTTCCCAACCCTAACCAAACTCCAGCATCCACCCTAAACCTTCAAAATGTATTCAAGATTCTTCCAAATCACTCGGCAGTTTTGGATGATTTTGAAAGATTGAGGACGCTGGAGCCCAGCCACTGTTATTTCACATGGATTTCACATTTAAATTATAGCACAAAGAATGTGTCATTGGGTTTCTGCATAATGGTTGATATTCTAGGATTACGGATAGTTCCTATCATTTATATTTGATCAGTTTCAGAAATATCTCATTATTTGGGTAGTAGTTGTAGTAAAGTCTGTCACAAGCCAATGTGGCCCATCAGGCCGGCGTTTATCTCCAGTTTCAGTAGCATGAAACAACAGAGAATATTTCTACTCCCCCTGGATGGGATGCTAGTCCATCGCAGGTTACTCCCCAGCTAATGCTGATACCCATTTATACTCCTGGGTGGAGAGAGGCAAGTTGGGGTGAAGTGGCTTGCCCAAGGACACAACGTATGGCCAGCAGCTGGATTCGAACCCCTGACCCTCTGATCATGAGTCACAAACCCTAGGCCCTAGGCCACACTTCCCAGTTTTATTTAAGTATCTTGGTTTTTCTGTGGTTGATTTTGACCCGTCTGCAGTGATACAGTACACGCTGTCTCTGGACACTCTCCAGATGGTCAGCCCGAGGGCGCTGTTCGCCGCGGGCTCAGCGCCGGGTACCAACCAAGACAAGACCAAAATGGAGCTGACCAAGGAAAGTGAATATTGCCGCGTCAGTATGGCTTACGTCAAGGTGGGTATCCAGAACTGGACAGTAGAGGGCGCTGTGTGAAAATTTACGCAAGATTGTGTGAAGAGCAAATTGCATGTTTTTTAGTAATTTAGTTTGAGTAATTTATCCCAGTGGGGGCAATCCTGTTCGTTAGTGTGACATCATCTCAATGCGTACTTCACACGGTATAGCATAGCACGAATGGAATCGGAAGTTAGCGCACCTCGAGCGTTTATCCAATGGGCGCTAGTAATCCGTGGTGTGCACGCGTGTATAACGAACCGGATTGCCCTTAATATTTTCCAAATTTCACCGTTGAGGACGTGTCACAATCCCAATAGACCTTAATCATGCTTCCACCATTTTAGTCATGTTCCCTGTATCCAATAACAGTACTAAATGATAATGTTTTTGTGCAAAAAGGAACCAGACTATTTTTCCTTCCAGCCTCGCTTTGGTTCGAGGATCTGAATGGGAAAAAAATCAAATGGCTGCAACATGATAATTGTCTGTTGTCCTTGAGCTGGACTCTTTACCTCCATCAGCAGGTTGGCAGATCAGAAAATAATTTTCCAAAAAGCTCTTAGTTTTGGTTCAGTGCCTACATCGTTACAGTACAGTTCCCGGTACATTAGTTTCAACCCAACACGGGGAATTGTGTCCTTGGGCAACATGCTTTGTCACAATTGCTTCAATCCAATCATACACCAGGTTGGTGTGTTTGAATACAGATTGTTACTAGTCCAAACATTTTAAAGCCACAGACATAAAATGTAACTTTTCCTTGAAGTTCCATTTTGCAATCTGATTTCCGATTGATTTTTGATGGTGTTTTTTTTTTTTAACCTGTTTGCTGTTCCAGCCGAGCATTCGTGACAAACTGCGACCGATCTCGGTCAACTTGGAGTACGGTTTGAACACCGAGGATGCCGTATATCAAGATTATGAGCTCCAACCGTTCCTGAGCTCGGAATCCTCCTCCGTCACGATGAAGCAGGTATGAAAGGAAGCTCTCAAAATTCACCCGTGGTTAGGGATGAAATTTTCGCCACCCTTAGCACTTTACGCAACACGAAATGTACCGGAACAAATTACCTGAATAAATTTTCTTTTGAAAAATACCATCATTGATATGGCCTTGTCTCAACCCTTCAAACTCAAATTGAAGTTGAAAAACCTGTTTTTTATATAAATTTGTTCACTTTTTTTCAGGTGTACATCAACAACAACTGCGCAGACAACGTCTGCATCCCTGATCTAGAAGTGAAAGCAACGACGTGAGTAATGTAGATAAACAATAAAAACAATGACAACTTACCTAAACTGCTCATAAAAGGAACGCTCATTTTTAGCCGGTGACTGTATATTTTCCCCTTGATTCTGTACACGCAGGTCTACCAGTGAGCTGGTGATTGGCAGTGGTGATTCTATCTTGCTGAACACCATAGTGCTGAACAAGGGGGAGGATGCCTTCTTAGCAACACTGAGGGTTGTCGTGCCGACGGGCGTGCAGTTTGTGCGCGTGGAGCGAAAGCAAGAAGTAAGCCCATTGTCAGAAAGCTTTGTTCACGTTCAGCTTGAAACCTTGTTTTAGCTAAAAAAGCTCCAGGAGTAAATGGCTTCGAAACAATGAAGCAGGGGTGGATCAAGTTTTTTTTTTGGGGGGGGGGGGGGGGGGGGAGAGGGGGTGTGAGGGAGTGTAGCTTTGTTTAGGGAGAGGGTTAGCTGGCATGTGCTACTATAGATCCACAACCGTTTTTGAAGAATATAGTTAGTCAAAATTCTCGATAGCTTATTAAAACGCAAAATTTCTTCAAAACGCAAAATTTCTTCAAAACGTGTATACATTATGTATCCAACATTCTTTCAAAGCATTTATAACCTTTTTTAGTTTCGCTTTCTGTCTAAAAGAAGCTTTTGTCTTTCAAAATATCTTTTCTGATTTTCGTTAAACAGGATTATTCCTTGACCTGTAGCGATGACACGGAAGTGAACACCATCATCTGTGACATAGGAAACCCTCTCAGAGGTAGAAACCAGGTGAGAGATTTTAGAAAGATCTTTTCCCTATGTTTCACGACACCATAATTTGGGAAATATTTTGGGACAAGTTTTGGACAATTTTCGGTCAAATGTTGGCAGGTTTAGCTATTTTGGGAAAAATGTTCTGAAATGTTCACAAATTAACAGGACATGGTGTTAACTCTAACTACAAATGTTTACTGCTCATCATTTGATGGGCAAGTGTGCAGATGATTCAAGAAGAGCGCCCTCAGACCTGTGCGATTTTATCGCTTTTTCCAATATTTTTTGTTTACAGGTGGATTTTGGCTTGAAGTTCTCCAGTTTCCAGCTAAGTGGCGACAAGTCATCGGTGGCATTTGCCATGTCTGCAATGAGGTGAAGAAATCCACATTTTAATTTGAAAAAAAAAAATGATAATGGGAGATATGTTTTTGGGTGGGTGAGTTTTGGGGGGGGATGGTAGTCCGAGTATCACCCGTTATCCACGGAGCCAAGTCTCGTGTATAACGTCTGATATAACTTAGCATGCGTGACATCATTTCATCCTGAAATCAGGACTAAGATTGTGATTGGTCAATTTCGATGCCGCGTTTTTGTAATACAACAACCTATGCAAAAATCTAACTAGTGGGCGTGATTTTTATGCACGCGGGGAGCTCGAATTACACACGCATAGAAGGCGCCTGCTGATTGGTCAGTTTCTCGAGGTCATAGGCAGTCTAGGTACATAATTCGCCGAATCTGTTTACGTAGAATAGACCATGGTCGGCTTGGCCAGAGCCAGGGTCTACTACATGTACATACTCTAGGAGGAGGATGGGAAATGAAGTTTATTAACTAAGCATATTTGGTGTTTTTTTTGGTTCATTTCAGTGAAAATGTTGAGGCCTCCACAGACAAGTTGGTTGACAACTTGGTAAACATCACAGTGGGAGTCAGGGCCGAGGTTGACCTTGTGCTGCTGGGGTAAGTTACTCAAGAGAAAATCCAACTGATTAGTTACGAAATTTCTTGATCATTGTGAAATTATTTGAAGATGTAACAGTACTATTGGTAACACAGTGCTGTTCATAGTAATTTAGAGCACAACTTATAAAAATAACCTGTCTAAAAAGTCTGGTAACAGCGTTCTCAAATTTGGCTCCAGTCCTTGTTTGCTTTTATTAATGACAGGACATTGGGTTCCAGACTGACAATTTGTATTTTCTTTCCTTGGACATCTTGAATCTTGCATCAATTTGATCAATGATCAATTTCGATATTGATTTCAGGCGATCGATACCGGCCCAGGTAGCTTACTCGCCGGAAGGAATCGACAACCCCGAGATCATCAAGGAAAGTGAGGCAGGGCCCCAAGTCGTTCATGTCTACGAGGTACGATGAAGTCTAGGTTCTAGACCAAACAAAAAAGTTACTTTAAGGCCAAAAAAAAAAAATAGTCGGTCTCTGGTCAGACCGAAGTTCCGGAATTGATGCGGCGATGCGGTGTTTTTTGGGGGGTTTTTTTGGTGGTTTTTTTTTTTTTTTTTCAAGCTTGTATTGTACAGACAAGGTGGGTACTATTTTGCTTTTTTGTGTCCTCATTATACATTGGTGTCCTCCATAATTTGCCTTGGTGCCCTTTATCATGTGCCTTGGTGCAATTTCCCCATTCCTTGGTGCTCCTTGGTACAAATATTTGAGGAGGCGCGGCAATAGAGGGCGCTGTTGTAGCTTCCGTGTTAATTTGGAAAAAAAAAAAGGTTGACGCGCATGATTAAAATCGAGGCACATGCTGACCAGAGACCGAGTATTTTTTTATTTTTGGCCTAAGACTGGATTGTTAAGAAATTGAAGGAAATTCATAGAAAACCATGCAAAACTGTATAACTGAAAAACAAAACTTGGCTTTTTATTTTAATGGAACAATAGATTGCAGAGTTATAATACTTTTGAATTAGAGGTTTTGATATTGTTTTAATAAATTAAAATTCAGAACAAGTTTTAGTATTGGCATCACAAAAGTTAATAAAAATGACAAAAAGGACCACTAAAGTTCAGCCTCTGTTCAAGAGTTGTATTTAGTAGGTGGTGCTTCATAAATTTAGTGGGAGCTTAATCTCTATCGTGGACTTGTTCCCAGTATTCAGTCATCAAGAATCAAATCAATTTCTGGTATTGTGTGGCTTTTTTGTTGCCTTCATCAGGTAAGCAACGCTGGGCCCAGTGACGCCGGCCTGATCACCTTTGACGTCTCCTGGCCCATGCTGGATGCTGACAGGAACTTCTTGCTGTATCTCATCAAGGTGGAGCCCAGCTCAGGCAGTCAATGCAGAGTCTCCGGTGAAGTCAACCCTCTGAATCTCACGGTAACAAAGAAATCACGCCATTTTTATTTGTCACGGCAATTTTACTCCATCCTTTACTAGATTTGGGTTAAAATTTGGCTTTTGATGGAGGTGCTAGACGAAAAGTAGTTTGTAGCAAATGAATTTTCAATCGCAATTCCGCTCAGCTTTAGTGTAGATTTTTTGATCGAGTCAATTAAAGGCGATCACAAGTCCAGTCATGATTGACTTGTGATTGACTTGTGATTGACTTGCGATTGACTTGTGATTGACTTGTGATTGACTTGTGATGGACTTGTGATGGACTTGTGATTGACTTGTGATTGACTTGTGATTGACATGTGAAGGACTTGTGATTGACTTGTGATGGACTTGTGATGGACTTGTGATTGACATGTGATTGACATATGATGACTTGGTGTCGACCCTGAACCATCTTCAATGAACAACATGGACTGGTAACCTTTTTTTAAACAAGTTATTTTTGCAATTAGCAAGTTTCTGCACTTAGCCTATGCACGAAACAGCTGTCAGGTTTAAAATAGAAATAATAATTGAACTAACCCCATTCTGTAAATCCAACCTTTTTTGATGGAGTAAACTAATAGAACTGCACCCCTTTTTCTAAATCAAGTTGTATTTCTTTGAAAATACAAATGCAGCTTGAAGAAAATAACCAAGCCAACAACGTGAGCGGCCCCAATAACGCCAGCGTGGAGGTACAACGTCAGCGACGGCAGGCTGACCAGCCAGAGCAGCAGGTCCACACAGCAGACTGCTCCACGAGCAACTGCCTGACCATCAGCTGCACCATCCAGCATCTGAAAGGTGGACAGAGCGAAGTCATTCGGTTCTTGGCCCGGCTCTGGAACAACACTCTGGTTGAGGTCAGTGTCTGGGACACACGTTGTCATTGTAGAGCTACGACTGTGATTGTCAGCTTGTGATGAGCCACATTGGCTTGTGACAGACTTTACTCTCCTTTTTTTGTTTACTTCCCACACAATTGTAATTATAAAGAACCTGGACAATGTGGTCATGGAGCCATACATATATCTCTGATTGGTCAATACATCGTGGGGGCCTTAATGCTACTTTCAAAATCAATGTCTGAATTTAAAGGGAATATACAACATTTGCAAACATCGAAAAATAAAACTACCAAGTTTTTACGAAATACCTTACTAGGATGTTGGTAAATGACACTCTCAAGCATCCTGTAAAATTATGGCACCTGGTGTGAAGTCGTTTTCAAGAAAATTGTATTGATGTATACATTTCCAACGGTGGTCAGCTGACCATCGTTGGAAAAACCTAACTATTTTTCAACTACTGCTCGAAATTTACAAATGTACCTTTTTTTTCAGTCCAAATTTTGTTTGCTATTGGTTACATGTTCATACAGGTGCAGGCCAGCTAGACTGGTTTCCTTACCTTACAGTTTTCTGGCAACTATAAATTGATCCACTTTATCTTTAGTGGAGTCAGGGAACCAGACTACTTGAATATTCTTGTTTTTCTTGGTTTTTCCAGCATTTCCGAACACAAAACTTCAAACATGTCAGTGTAACAATATTTGATCTATTATACTAACCCCTCAAATATTTCATTTCTGAAAATTACAGCAAAAGCCAATGATGTACACTCCCTTTAAGGTCAAATTTTCAGAATCTTGGCTAAACCTGTTTTATCATAAAAATCATGTCCATTGTGTTTTCTCATTGTCTATATTTAGACGACCTTTGACCGGTTAGTGATTTCCTCCCGAGGTGTTGCCAAGGTGATCAACCTTCCATACACGATAGACCCGCCGGAATTACCTCAAGTCATGATGGAGGTAGGGAAACTTAACAGCAAGACGAAAGTTAAAATTACCAATGTATTTTTTTATGATTTTATGGTTCTGCTAGACCGAAAATATTAGTAAGCAGATTTACATACCAAGCTGAAAATATACCGAGTACCGGCTATATGCAGTATGCACCACATGGAATTTTTGCTGGTAACCCGTTATAATGGGTAGAGCCAGAATCACACCCAGAGGAAGGTACATTTTTTATCAGTAACCTAAGGAGTATTATGTTTATTCATGAGGAAAGAACAATGATGTCACAGCATATTACTGTCGTCAGGTTACCACAGTAGCCTAGTGGTTAGTGGGATAAGATTCTGATCAAAAGACCTTGGTTCGAATCATGTCCATTTTTCATCTGCTGTTTTTCTTCTCCACATTTATCTTAAGGATTATTTTAATTGAAGGGAAAAAGAAGTCCGAGACCTAACTTTCTTGAAAAAAAATATCGCGCACCGCTAACAGGGCCCAAGTGTACTTTCCTTCAGGTGTGATATTGGCGCTACCGTTATTATGCCTAGCCAAACTTTTTGAAGCTCAAGCAAATTTGTATTTTCTTTTTCTTGCAGGTTTCAACGATAGCAAGCCCCGATGAACCTGTTGTAAAGAGGGTGCCCATTTGGATTATAATTGTTGCCGTGATAGGAGGCCTGCTGCTTCTACTAATTGTCATCTTAGTGCTGTGGAAGGTAAGTTCCAATCGTGGGTAAATCACGTCTTTGGTGTTTTTTTTAAGGTACAGGCATGTTAAAAGCTTGGCTTCATACTTTCCTTCAAAAGTTGATTGAAAAGTAAAATAAAACCCTACAAATTTAACCTTAACTCCCCAGGCAGTTTTGCTAGGATGCAACCTCAATCCTGCAAAATCCTCCAACTGCCTCCATGTACAAATTGCATACAGCCTCAATCCTGCAAAATCCTCCGTTACTTAGTGAATGTGGTACTTGGAGGAGTAACGTCTGCCTCGATCCTGCAAAATCCTCCGGCAATCACTCAATATGTCGAGGCAGAGCCAGTGACATCCTGGAGCAGAACAGAGGATTTCAAGTATAATATAGGCCTACATTTATGTACGTTTGAGCATAAACAGCGCAAGGTCCGGCCCAGGACCTTGACACAGTGCATCCTCCAAAAACAGCCACACATTTTTGCCATATAGCCTCAATCCTGCAAAATGACCAACTTCCATTTTGTTTCATATATAAAACTGACTTGTGTCTTCCGTCCTTTCTTTATCTTTCCCTAGTGTGGCTTCTTCAAAAGAAAGAAGTACTCACCCATCGCATCGGACGAGAAGAGAGCAGATTTATGATGAGGCTGAAACGGACCACCAAAAGACTTAGACAACTCTATTACCAAATACTGACGCATTTTTTACTAAAAAGTACACGTATGCACGCATGCCTTCCAAAAAAAAGCACTAGTTTTTACCATTATTGTTCAAATGCATGCATTTGTAAAATGTGTTTTTGAAACTTTCACTCATTTCTTAAAACCGTGTTTTCTTGAAAGTAATTTGTTTTTTGCAACATGAAGGAGCAATGGTTTTGTAATGTAAGGCATCTCTCTCAAATGGTAAACTCAAAAACAATTTTTCGTGAAGGGGTGTCATCCAAAGTTGTTAACGTGAAACAGGCGACCCCTCGGGATAACATCATTTGAGATTTCGTCATCTTTTGAATGTCACGGTTTCTTTCGGTTCTGTGTATCACACCAAATTCTAAGAGGTTTTTGAAATCCGTCTGTTTTTGATGTATTTGCCTTCTCGAAAAAAAGTCTTCCACTATAACTGTTTACTTCCTAGTCAGTACTGTAATTTTTGTTTTTCTTGTTGAGCAGCGTGTCTTGAAGTTGTATTTAGAAGAATTTGTTTTTTAGATTTGTGTGTACTACGCTGAATTTTTGCAGGTTGAAAATGTTGACCTTATTTCCCACATTCTGTATTCATTTGTTTAAGTGTTTGGTTTGAATGTTTGAGAGAAATAATTCCGTGAAGTTCAGAGTTTTATGTGTTTGTGAGTGTGGGAACAAACTGAGTGACGGACAAAGCGAGAACAGATTTACTAATGCTACAGACAACATGACTGAATTTTGTATATTTCATCCACCAGCAATTTTTCAAGCATACAGCTGCTGCAGCATGTTCAGAAATAAATAGGAAAACATACCCTAGTTGGTCATTTTTATACCAAATAATTCCACCCAAACTTTTTAAAAGAGCTTCAGTTTTAGCTGGGTTTTCTGTGGTAGTAAAATTTTACCTTTTTTTGGTTGAAATGTGTGTGTTATATTTCCATGTTTTTACATCTTTTTTATGGTAAAGTTTCAGCAGAACCTTTGAAGTGAAAACTGGATGTGTTTTAGTTGAGAAAACAAAATTAAAATATGATCGCTTTGACCTGAGGTTCTGTAGATAATCTTGCAGCATGAAGCAAATTGCTTTTTGGACCAGATTTTGAATTCTTAAACTAATCATTTGGATCATGCTTAGTATCGCTCGCCCTGTACAGTGTTCACACTCCAAAGCTGCTCGTAAGCAAAAAATCTGCTCGGGCACCAGTCAAAGGGAATACCCATTACATGTCATTTTAGCTGGCACCCTGTTCTTGCTAAGCTAATATTTTCCAAGTTAAGCTCATTTCTGTGGTTGTGTACATGTATATTTTTCTGCACCTAGAACAATTTGAGTTTAGTGTTGCAGATAAAATCCGGAGGCTTATGACTTGTAAAATCATGAAGAGGTATATTTTAGAGTAGTCTTTTTTTATATAAAAAAACAAAGCAATACTGAAGAAGCAAAGTGATATTATCTAGAAGTTTGAAGTGAACTTGTAAAGGAGTCGATTTTGATTTAATGGTTACTACATAACGTACACTGAATAGAGCAGGTGAAATGGCCAACTGTAATTTAAACCCGCACTCTCTGGCTGGCAATATCAACAAGGCCAGCCCAGCAGTCAAAATAAATCAAGTGACTGCTTTCAACAGTTGAGTGCACCCTGCCTTCATGAAGCAGGATTGACTGGCTGCGATTGTTATGAAACCTGATACAGCTATGCTTTGACTGAAGGAGATTGATAAGCCAGCTGTGCCTACCAGTCACCTGCTTTTGTCTGTTGATGGAATTTGACTGTCACAGTGCCTACAAGAAAATATGATCTGACTGTTGGTGACTAGCCTGTGTAAAAGGCATGGCAGGGGAACAGGATTGAATTTTTGACTGTCTGTGACTGATCAAACAAAAGGAAGGTTAAGCGTATTAAGCTGTGCTAAAGCTTGCTCGTGCATGAAGATATCGGTTGTGGAATCTTTGAGCGGAATTCTGCTTCTGAAGTAACGTTCTCTCTGCTGTGCGTACTGCTTATGGTCTCCATGAAGCGGAAATAGTTTCGGCTAGCAGAAATTTCTGCGATTAGCGGTACCCTAAAATTAACTTTTAGCTGATTTGTTTTCCCATTTTGAGTCACGCGACTGGAAACTACCTATTTGATTCGCCCAAATGGTATGGCTTCCAGGATACCATGGTGCAGTTTATAGACGAATCAATGACCGAAATAGCCTGCAAAACAGACTATTTAAGTGCAGTATAACCTACTTTATTCATAAAAAAAATTGTACTTCTGATAAATCTTAAGTGTTAGTTTGAATGATAATGTGCATTTGTGTTTATGAAGAAAGGGCAAATCAAAAGGACTAATTTTTGTGATTTTAATATTTTATATTTATAGATACGAATGTATGTTGTAATGTAATTTTTTTGGTGTTTTATCATGTAGGGCATAAATATAAATTACTTAATATTCTGATTTTTTATTGTGTAGATATGTTTTGTTATTGTTGCTAACAAACTCAATTACCAGGTCATTCAGTTGCCAGAGATTCGTTTAAAAGTCTTAATTTTTTAGTTTTTAGTTTAGCAGTCGGGAAAAATATAAATTAGTGGTGATTTTTTTCCTCAAACGAAGCTGGTGAGGAAAAGAAAAGTGCTACTAAAAGTACAGTGCTGAAACTGTATAAACTGCCCTACTTCCGTAAACTGTGTTAACAATAATATCTGGTACCTAGACTCCGTTTCTTTTACACCATGCACATTTCATCTACAGTTTGTGACAGGGTCTGGTGCAGTTTGTTGGAAAGTGTTGTTGGAATTTCAGACAAGATTCTAAGCAGGCATTGCAGTGCTGCGCCATTTTATGACATCAGGACTTCTTTTTTTCCCCGTTCATTTTCCCATTTTAAAAAACCATTCTCTCCATTAAGACAACTCTAAGATTCTTTGTTTCAGTGCCGTCTTGAAATTTGTCTACAAGAAGGGTTTAATGTGTTCAACCTTTTTCTTGGCGTTCACAGCTAAGTTACATGGTTTGTCGGCTGTTTGGGAAAAGTGGTCTTAGAAGTCTATCAATGAGAAACTAGGTCTAGACCTGATTGTAATTGTTTTGTCCATTGTAGATCATATTCTCTTTCTTAAAATTGATGTTCAGTCCAAAAATTCAATTCTTTGCCACTTTTTTAAATCTCATATTGACTTTGAGCGATTAAGGTTTATTTTCATGTCCAGCTTTTATTTTTCCTTTTTTGAAACATCTTTTTTTTTTGCATTGAATTTGTAGAGCTTCAAGTCTTTGTAATTAGCCCTTGTGACTCAAAATAGAGAAGTCTAAAACAAAAGCTGTCCGTAAAAATTAAAGTATTTTAGTAGAGAAATGTTAGATTTTTGTAAGCATAAATATAAACTAATGCAATGCATTGTAATATGTCTTTCTATAAAACAATTTTTATACTACAATTGTTAAAACTGATCAGGTTTAATTAAGATTTTAAAAGGATCTATCCGACTTAATAGGTTAAACATGCATTTCTAATCGAAATGGGTCAAAAATACCTTTTTTTCCCAAAACAAACCAACCCAATGTTGCTTGTGATGTAAGATAAGCTCATAGCAATTGTTGTTCGGCTTTCATCGGAATCTCTAGGAAACTCTTATTTCAGGCAGTTTTTGTTTAAATGGTAAGGGGTTAAACTTGCATTTTAAATTAAATTGCGTCAAAAACTAACTTTTCCCTAAGCAATCCCGAAAATGCTTCTGATGCGAGATAAACCTACCGAACAAGTTGTTATGCTCTTTATTCGAAAATTTATGACATCTGTTGTAAAATGCATTCTTTGCCAAATATTGAAAGAAAAATTATTGGTAAGGGGTTAACCTTGCATTTTTAAATTAAAAAAAATATATCCGCAAATTAACTGTCATGAAAAAAAAACCCAAAGTGCTTATAATGCAACAGAAACTTATTGCAATGGTTACTACGCCTTATACGTGAAAAATTGAGAAAACGGTAAGGGTTAACCTTGCACTTGTTAATAAAATTGTGTCAAAAATCAACTTTTATTCAAACAACCCCAAAATCACTTTTGATGCAAAAATAACACATTTCAATAGTTTTCAAGCCCTTATTCTGGAGATTTGGTGAATAACTATGAAAATTCATTTGAGCCAAAATAAAAAAACGGTAAGGGGTTAACCTTGCTTTTTTAATAGAATTCGGCAAAAAATTAAATTTTTCGAAAACAAGAAAAATTTCACTTTTGATGCATGATGAACTCATTTCAACAGTTTTTAAGGACTTATTTTGAATATTTGTATGTTAAAAGAAAATTGTTTTTTCAGGCAATTTTTTTTAAAAAATGGTAAGGGGTTAACCCTGCTTTTTAATAAATTGTGTTAACTTAGCTTTTCCCCAAAATCACTTGAGATGCAAGATATAACAATTTCAACAGTTGTTAGGCCCATATTTTTAAGGTTTGGTGACTATATTAAGAAAATCAATTTTTAGCCAAATTTGAAAAAACGGTAAGGGGTTAACCTTGCTTTTAAATAAAATCAAGTCAAATTTTTTTTTTCCAAAAATAACCTTTAAGTGTTTATAATGCAAGATAAACTTATTGCAATGGTTGTTAGGCCCTTATTTTGAAGATTAATATATGGAATTTTTTTCAAAATTTGAAATTAAAAAAATGGCAAGACAATTTGCAATTGATCAAGCCATTTGTTTGGAAATTTCAAGAAAATATGGCGTTGCAACCGGAAACCAGGGCGTATTTTACATAAATTACAAATGTTAAAAAATATGTTGGTGGATGTGTATGTTTTAATTTGTTTATCATTTACCGTGATAAAAATAATCTGAGATATTTTTGGCCAGTGCAACTGTCTTACATTTGCTCTATTATGGGAAAAACTTTTTTTAAGTGTTAACAGAAAGTGTCATATTACCATGTAGTGTACTGTAAGTTTGTAAATTGATGTATATTTTTTTACTGCTGTTTTGTAAAAAAAACTAATGAAGAAATAAATTCGAAAACCATGCTATGGCAAGCAAAATAACACTGTTATACACTTGTTCTTATGTCCGTCTTGTGCCTTGAAAAATAAACAATTTTTTATTCCCAGCGAAGCTATGTATCTAGGTTTAATACTTCCCTTAGAACTGACCAATGTTTAAGTATAAATATAAGTAAAAAAACCAAGTCCCAAATTCCTACCCCAAACCGAAGTATAAGTATAAAGTATAAGTATGAACCATCCAGCTAGTAAATTCCCCAGTGAGTTGATCAGCCCAAACCTAAGTCCCAAGTTCCTACCCCAGACCCAAGGCTTCTACCCCTCAGCCTCCAACTCTCTCTGGAGACTAAGTCAGAACAACCTAAGGGTTTTAATTACCAGAATCCTTACTTTTTTAAGAAAAACCCAGTGGTGTAGCGGTAAGAGTGTAAGGCTACATACCCAAGGGTTCCCGGTTCAAGTCCTACCCATGCACAATTTTGTCAGAAAAGATAGTATATATTTTGAAAAAGTCTAAAAGCTCCTCAGGACGGGCCCAGGACCTGAACCGGGGACATCCCGGTTCGGATCCTGAGCTCGTCCTACTGAGCCAACTGCTTCTTGATAAATTTGTGTTCGGACCTTATATATAAACCTTAGGTTAAAACATTGCAAAACAATCATGAATATTCATTAATGCATATTCATCAAATGCAAATAAATACAAGCTGCTCATAAAAAAAAGATACCATTATGCAAATTTCTGGGTTTCGTTCAGTATATGCCAATGAAGGCAGGGAACAAGATGCTCGTCTAAATTTGATTACTTGAATGATCCTCGAGCTACATCAAAGCATATCCAAAATTTGTGGTTCCAATTTATATTAAAATGGTAAGGGGCTAACCTTGATTAACTTATCCCCAAACAACCCAAACTTACATTTAATGCAATTTAAAAGCACTAACAGTTACTGCAAGGATCTCGGTTTTTAAAATTGTGAATTAAAAAAACAACTGACAGAATAAATGCAATTTAACGCAAGATATGCTGTCAAACTCATTTATTTGTACTTTAAAATAGATTTTAACTTTAAATTGTCTGAAAAATTAATTTTTTCATTAAACAACCCCAAAATGACCCAATAAGATGAACATATTGAAATAGTTTCTAACCCCTCATTTTGATCATTTATGAAAGTTATAACATTATTTTTGGGCCGATAATTTGAAAAAAAGTGCCAAGGGTAAACCTTGCATTTTGAATCAAATTGTGTCGAAATTTAACTTTTTTCTCGAAAGACCCAAAAATGACTTTTGATGCAAGATAAACCTATTAAAATATTTGTTAGGCCTTACTTTTGAGAATTTATGGAAAAGCTGGATTTTTTTGTCATTGGCGCAAACCATGCGCTAAATACAGTTAGAATAATGTACTTAGGGTTTATGATGCCACAAGTCACAAAAGTATTTATTTTTTGGAAATTATTGTAACTTCTTCTAAGAATTTAATTATTTAGGACATTTCAATTTAAAAAAAAAAAAACATCAAAAATAAAGCGAACATGCATTAAAAGATGAAATTGAGATGATAACAAAATACATGTCAGTGAAATTACTACATACAAGTTTAAACATTTTTCTTTCATAAAATGTATTAAATAGCATGACCGGATTTTTTGTTTTTAAATTGACTTGCTTGCTGTAACCATGGCAACATCATCATCTTGTTAAGTGTTTAAGCCACTCAGCTACGTTGCATGGACCATGAGCCTTCAGTCAAAAAAAAAAGGAAAAGAACAAATTAACAAAATAATTTTGTTTTTTTTAACACAAGTTAATTAAGGCTAAATTCTGAGATCGAATATTTTTCTTTGAGGGCAAATTGAATGGCGTTTTGGATCAGCAGATATTTCTTCCAAATAAACCTGCTCCAGAAATCCCAAACTTGTGAATTTCACAATGTAAAATAATTGTACAAAGCATGATTTGATATAACTAAGTAGGAAGCTGCGGTAACTAGGTTTCTTTGCTTGTGCAAAACAAAATTTTTGACATCTTATCAATTATCCGAGTTGACTGCTTTATGCAAATTCAGTTTCTAATAGGCACTTTCATTGGACATTATCAACCATTTTGCATTGCTATCAAGCAAATATAACAGTTCTTGCATCGACTTCAAAGTAATAATGTGATTAGGGTTACGTACAAACAGGGACAGCCATTTTGTGACAAATGTCCAGTCTGTTCATAAGTATAAATCCTGATTAAAAAATATCATATTCTTCACATTGGCTCTGAGTTTTCTAGGTTTTGACTGATAGCATTCCTCCAGGGTACATCTTCTTAAATCAGACAACATTAGGGGATCATTAAATGTTATGCTTACTTTGTGACTTTATTTAAAATATTTGTCCTTTGGTTAAGTACGCAACACTTTTAAAAACAATATCCATCGTATTTTCTAAAATCCAAAACCAGTTACCCTTTGCAGGTGAGGTTATTTGTTCAAAGCTTGCAATGTTTACAGCAAAAATTGAGAGACCAAGATCCTAGTTTTATCATCAAAACTAAAAAGTCTTCTCAAATTTCACACTTTTAGGCCCGTTAGTGTGGAATTGCCCATGCATAGGGTCTGCCCTCGTATTTTTCATATTTTACAGGTTGTGAGGGATTTTCCAGCATTCGTATGTTTATATCGCAAGATTAGCAAATCTCTGCTCACAGGAAAACGCAAGCACAGAATTCTGTGAGAATCAAATTTTGCCAAGCTGATCAACTCACCTTTGATCAAATGTTGCGTTGCTGCAGTAGGATTCTTCTGAGACAGTTTGTTGGATGTCTGTCAGTGTGTCGCCAGCGTGAGGTGACCAGATCAATTATCTGCAACAAATGACAAAGAAAAAGAAGGATTAGTCTTTTGGTCTGAATGCACATCTTGGAGAAATACATCAACCAAATTCGCGTGACCTGCTCTGAGAAAAAGAGTCCGAGATGTTATGTCTCTGAAAATGTTACCTCACAATTTGTTTCATTTTTTTGAAAATCTTTTTAGGAAGTTTTTTTGGAAAGTCGTGTTTAGGCATGTTAAGACCTGGAATGAGAGAAAAAACGTCACTGGTTTCGTGAAGAGCCACGTGTCAAAAATAACCATTTTTTTTTATTTTCGATTTGTTCACTATTTTAAAAAAAAAATTGTACATGACCATTTGGACATGTTTCTGTAAGCAAAACATCATTTTTTTCCAAATAACAGTAATGATGCTATTGGCAGAGATCTCGATAAATGCATTTTGCATTTTCACGAAGAGCCACATACGTTTTGGCCCCTTGAACACGTACAAAACCTATTGCAAAGAAAGGCGTAAAGAAGGTCGACTGAGATTTTCGTTTTCATGAAGAGCCACATATCTTTGTTACATTCTCAGCTGCATGCACATGCGCGCGCCCCGTCCATATGGAAAAACACATTGAATAGAAAGGGCCAAAACGTAGGAAACTTGAATTTAAGAGACAAAGAGACAAATTATCTTTACTTTAATTTTCACTAATACCTTCCATTAATTCTTAGTACTGGGTTCACTTTAAAATTCAGCTCTCATAGAATCACGTGAAGTTTCCTTACTGCACACAATATTGCAAAGAAGTATTTTTTTGGCGGTTTTAAAATAGGAGAAACCTCTTTAGCGATCATATTGAATTTTTTTTTTAAAAATCCACATGCTCTTCGTGAAAACAGTGAATGATTTAAAGGAAATGAAGTTTTGAATTTCTTTCTTTCTGGGCAAAGTTTCAGGTTTCAATGTGGTCCAAACTTTCAGAAATATATGACAGAATGATGCAAAGATTTCATTGATGCAATAGTTTATTTTGCTTCCTCCCCAAAACATTGTGACATTTGGGCAACTATAGACTCAATTTCTGAGAGCAGGTCAAATATCCTGGTAAGGTCAGTTTAAACAGGGCTACCACGAGAAGGTCCCAGGATACCAGCCCCAACGCGCTTTCAGTATCCCAGCAGGCACCGACCGTCAGACTGACGTTGTATAATGGTTGTTTTATGGTCGCAACGTCGGATCAACCATACATAACCGAAAAACAACGTTGTTTTAGTCGACCAAAAGCCGACGTTGTCATTATAACGTCTGCCAGACGTTGCTTTAGTGTCGACAATTTAACGTCAGAATTTAACGTAACAACAACGTCGAAATATAGTTGGAATTTGGTCGGGAATATTACCAAACGTAATTTCAACCATGGTATGACGTTGTTTTGTCAACGTCTATACAACTGACTGAAAAACAACGTTGTATTATTGTTATTTTTGCGTTTCCCTTCGCGACGTCGCAATTATGTCATGTTTTCAACCAAGATATGACGTTTGCTTTCTAACGTCGTTTCAACAACTCAAAAAACGACGTTGAATTATGGTTGGCCGTCGGTTATAATATCCGACGTCGTACTTATGTCATGCTTTTGACTAAAATGCAACGTCCGTTTTTGACGTTTTTTCAACGACTCAAAAAGTGACGTTGAATTATGGTCGGCTGTTGGTTATAATATATGACGTCGTTATTTGGTCATGTTTTTAACCATTATTTTACGTCCGTTTTCTAACGTCGTGTCAACGAATCAAATAATGACGTTGTTTTCCGGTCGTTTGATGGTTATAATATTTAACGTCATTATTAAGTCACGGTTTTACCCAAACTATAACGTCAGTTCTCTGACGTCTTTTCAGCGACTCAAAAATGACGTTGGATTATGGTCAGCCGCTGGTTATAATATTTGACGTCATTTTTAAGTCATGTTTTCAACCATGATGTTACGTTCGTTTTCTAACGTCGTTCCAATGACTCAAAATCGACGTTGTATTGTGGTTGGCTGTTGGTTATAATATCTGACGTCGTATGCTTTCAACCAAAACACAACGTCCATTATCTGACGTCATTTCAACATCTTACAAAGCGACGTTGAATTGTGGTCGGCTGCTGGTTATAATATATGACGTCGTTATTAGGTCATGTTTTCAACCATGATATTACGTCCGTTTTCTAACGTCATTTCAACGAATCAATTAATTACGTTGATTTTTGGTCAGTGGATGGTTACAATATTTAACGTCATTGTTATGTCATGGTTTTACCTAAAATATAACGTCCGTTTTCTGACGTCTTTTCAGCAACTCAACGTTGAATTGTGGTCGGCTGTTGGTTATTTACATTACGTCGACAGTGTCATGGTTTCGACCAAAATATAACGTCTATTTTGCACTTAATTTATTCAGCAAATAAAAAAAAGTCATTAAACCGGAATGCATGTGCAACGTAGTAATTCCCAAACGAAATTATCGGACGCCTTTTTAATTTGAACGACTAAAAAAAAAGACGTTGAATTATGGTCACCTAGCTGATGGTTATAAATTTGATGTCCAATCGTTATCATCATTGTTTTAACCGAAATATATCGTCCATTTTGAAGATTTTTCCACTGAGCCGCAGCACGCGCCTACTATAACTACTTGGCCCAGAGCCAAGTGCCGCGCGCGAAAAAACCATATAGCCAAAACGTATTAGGCCTACACGTAAGCATATGTATGCCCTGTGCGTGACCTTGCATTCCAACGAACTCCACTGCTGTACGAGTCTGGCCAGTTTGAATCATCCGTTAAACCAACAGTCACAACTGAAGCAGCTTTGGGAAGAGACATGTTGGCCCAAAATGAACAAGGTTTTTGGCACCTTTTCTGCACAATATTGTCAAGATTCGGTTCTGCGATGGAGTGCAGTTAACATTGGAGATGTTCCCACCCCTGATCTATAACTCCAAGTCAAGATACGACATCAAGATATAGGACAAGCACAAGTAAAGATTTCGATTGAACCGCAAGCAAGATGATCTGATTTTGCCATGTCTGAAAATGGTAAGTTTCAAACGCGAATGTTTCCGAGTTAGTGATTTGCAATTTCTTTGAAGGTCAAAAGTTTGGAAATTGTATCTTTATTATTATTATGTACCCTACTAGTCATGTCAGTTTTAACTTTAAAATTCCATCAAAATACCTTAACTTCATTGTAGAAAGTTATTAATGTTAGACTAGATGTTGGATGCTATTGTCATTCCTTATCTTAAAAAGAAAGTTACACTAACGATGCCCTTTGTTTAAACATTGAAGATGTAGAAAATCCAAACTAATCAGCAGTCATGCTAGTTCTACCTGCTTTCTATCATCACGTTCAATCTTAATTAGGCCTAGGAAAAATGAGGTCATTCTAAAGCATATCTCATTATGAGACGACTTCCCACACGTACTGTGTTGATTGAAGATTTAGAATATTAAATTTATTGTGAATTTAACCGCCCCGCAACATATTCCGCATCCATCACTAACTCAAACGATCGAAACGTCTCTTTCATTTTGATGCTGATATTTTGAGACAAATACGTTTTCAATCTAGTTTACGGTGTTCAGAGTTTGGGAATCACGTATAACGATACATTATGCCACTTTTCTTTTGTCGTGTACTCTATTTCATGTTTTATTAATACCAGTATTTACTATAAAATTGGTTTGTTGTAGTCTTTGCAAAGCGCTTAGAAACACGGCGTACGAAGCGCTATTAATGTTAATTTTTATCCTTGTAAAGAAAGTTACGGTGCTTGCAATTTTGAATTCTTCATTAATTAATTTCAGTAAAATTCGTTTCTTGGAATCGCATGAAATCGCCCATTAGAATTAAAATAGGCCTATGCTTCGACTTGTCTTCTTCATACATGTAAGAATTATTTTTAATACTTTTTTTTGGATTTCTAAAAGTTAAACTGCTGCTGTAAGTTCAAAGAATCTGTTTTGTTTTAATTATTTACGAGTCACCATTATTTGAAAAATGTGTTGGTATTCAAGAAAATTAACAATGTTGTTCATTTTTCCCCTTTTCCAGCTCTCTGCTTTGGTCAGTTGAGGGAGACGAATACACTACCCAAAGCCCTACTTTACGTGGCCCCATGCACCATCAGGATCAACATCAACCGCCTGATGTCTTCTATACCTGCACAAATATTCACAAAAGAGATTAGAGATCATGTCTGTGTTGGTTGTGATTCCGCGTGGTAATGAAATCTGATGCCAAAATTGATCGGCCTATTAACATTGAACATTTGAAGCGTCTAATTGACATTATTTAAGCCTGTCAGACTGACGCCACTATTTTGAATATTGACTAACTTTAGAAAACTTACTTTTTGCACTGTTATTTCGGTTGTGTACTATAAGAACCTAGCCAACCAGTTTATTAAAAAAAATGAACAAGTTGTGTAATATTATACACAAGTTGTGTAAACAACGGTTTACACAACAGGTTGCTAGCTTCATATATTACACAACCGTTTGATTTTTACACAACCGAAATAACAGTATTCAATGTCTACAAAAATAACATTTGCAACCATGTACTGGCCTAACTTCAATCATGGAATTCAAACATTGAAAGGACGTTATTACGACGGTCAGATAGACGTCAATTTTGACCTCACACAGACGTTATAATTTGGTCATTTTTCGACGTCTAAATAACTTCAACCGCGACGTCCTGTCAACGTCCATTCAACCAGACAAATCATGGTCAGACTGACGTCATAATTTGACTATATATGGACGTTAGATTTCGGTCAGGTTTTCGACGTCTAAATAACCTACTTTTTCAACCATATTCTGACCTAAATTCAACCAACAATCTGACGTCCTGTAGACGTCCATGTAACCAGTTAATCATGGTCAGACTGACGTCATAATTTGACTATAATCGGACGTTAGTTTTCGGTCATGATTAGCAGTTAATCATGGTCAGACCGACGTCACAATTTTGACCACATATCGACGTTAGAATTTGGTCAGGTTTTCAACGTCTAAAAAACTTACACTTACAACCACTACGGCAACCAAAAAACAACGTCGGAGTTGGTCGGAATCTGACGTCAGATAGACGTTAAATCGACCAAAAATGCCTGCTGGGATCGTCAGGCCCATTGCTGGATAAAAGGTAGGCCCCGGAGGGCCAGACACAGTTATCGACTGTCCGGTCCGCCCGCCCAGCCCCAAAGGACCAGGAAAGCACCCTAACCTATATGCACGCCCCCCTAAGTCCATCCCCCATTACGGGTTCATGCGGTCTGATAGGAAGTAGCAGCGTTTGCCGGCTGTGAATACAGGGCCACGCCCCTATAAAGAGGGACGCACTACCTGCTCCCTTATGGCACGGCATCCTAGGGTTCCAGGCCGCTGCGTAGGACCCACGCCCCACGTGGAAGGCGGACCTGCCACGCGGACGCAACTCGCCCCTTGAATCTGTGCTGGATTTCCGCCGCACCTCAATTGGAGCACCCAGTCAGACTCCAATTAGTAATCGAAACCGCCGCACCCACCTAAGCCCTAACGGCATAGGGATATAGGAGATCCCATAGCCTTGAGTTCTCAGAGGGATATAGGAGATCCCCTGAACTAAGAAAAAAAAACCTATTTATTTAGTGAAATTTGTATCATTTCACTAATAGATGATGAACATTTATCAAAAAAGATTGTCCCTGTGGAAGTACGTGTTTATGCCCTAAAGGCGGTGCACAAGATAAATTTATTTAGTGGAGCCTTGCAGCAGGGACGGATCAGGGAGCAAGTTCCTTAACCTTACTTGACAGAATTACTTCACTTGGCCAAGTAATTTTCCAATATTTGGTTTCAAGATCCCAAAACCTAAATGTTTGAAACATGAATACTTTCACAAGAGGTGATAGGTGGTGCAATGATCAGCAACTGACTTGTTTTCTTCAATACATTGGTTTCTATCCTTGCTAACTCTTTTTGCTTCTCTCCATCAAGGAGTAAATGACCCTTAGTAATGTTTCTAGTATGAAAGTTGACATTTTGCTCTCCAAGGAGCTGATTGCCACCCATGATCCGCCCCTGGATGGACGTAGGGATATAGAAGATCCCATAGTCCTGCTGGTCTTGCGTTGTAGGATGAAGGGATAAAGAAGATCCCACATCCCATCTTGATCCTGGAGGACATCGGGATATAGGTGATCCCATAGTCCTGTAGTAAATCTTGCTGTGCTCAATTTGAGCCGATGACATATGCTCAATTTGAGCCGACGACCTGTAGAGAAACCACCACCCCACACAAACACATACCACCACCAAACCCCACAATCACAAACACATACCACCACCAAACCCCACAATCACAAACACTATATCTGACGTTCTGAACCAACTCTGGGAAAATTTCAATTACTTTTGGAGCTTTTCAGAAGAAAATAGTCAGTGGTTTATGAAAATAAAATTAAATATTCTTTTTTTGGCCCCCAAACATTCAAAAATTGAATGTTGGCAAGGAAATTAATTGAGTAAAACTAAAAACCAAAAAAACGTCAAAAAACCACTACCACCACATTTCAAGCTTAAGTTGTTTGAAAATCAAAGTCAGATGTGCAGTAATAAATATTTTGTTCCATTTGTTTCTTGCATCAGGCAAAATGCTTGCATTTTGCAATAAGGCCTAAGTGACTGGCCAAAAATATAACAAAAATCCAAGTACATGTCAAAATTGGAAACTTTTTGGCACATTTTTCCAGAGTGGTTCAAAAGTAAATAACAAAATTCAAGCCATTGGCTATGACTCACTCTGCACAATCCATCGAACGACTCCGCTTGCAAACTGTACTTTGGTCTGGAGTTCTTGAGTTCCAACGATTCTTGCAATCCGGGGGTCTTGAGCATGCCCACAGCTGCAACAAAATGGTTACCTCACCTTAGTGAACATGCAGTCTTGTCCCCCGGCCTCTATACTTCCGCCTTCTGCACTTCTTCTAAGAAAAAGTCGCTCTGTCACATGCCTTTAGCTTGATCAGTTCCTGTTCCAAAGACTGAAATCCGGAGGTCATGCGCATGTCCACAACTGTAAAAAAAAAATTAAAAAAAATGTTACCTAACCTTTAATAGTGAACATGCAGTCTTGTCTAACCGCCCTTGCTTGCGCTGTCTGCACGTCTTCCGAGAAAAAGTCACTCAGCTACACTCCCTTGATCAGTTCCTGTTCCAAAGACTTCTGCAATCCGGGGTCTTGAGCATGTCCACAGCTGTAACAAAATGGTTACCTCACTTTAGTGAGCATGTATAGTCTTGTCCCCCGGCCTCTATACTTGCACCGTCTGCACTTCTTCCAAGAAAAAGTCGCTCAGTCACAGACTTCTGTCCTCTGGGGTTTTTGTGCATGGCCACAGCTGCAACAAAATGGTTACCTCACCTTGTGAACATTAAGTCTTGTTCCCTGGCCTCTATACTCGTGCTGTCTGTCATTAAGCTACAGAAACAAAACAAACAACAACAACAAAACTTGTTTTATAGCTGTAAAAAAACTGGTTACCTCACCTTAGTGAACATGCAGTCTTGTCCCCCGGCCTCTACTTGCATCATCTCAACTTCTTCCAAGAAAGAGTACTTGTTCCAAAGACATCTGTTTCTTGTGTTCTAGTAGAGCACGATCACACTGCTGCAAAAAACATGGTTACCTGACCTTGTGAACATGGTCCCCCGGCTTCTATATTTGTGCTGTGCGGTTGTCCTTAAACTGCAGAAACAAAACAAACGAGCAGAATCCCAAATTTAGAGACTTAATTTACAGGAATAAATGAAAAACAATTTGATTTAATTCAGCTCATATCTCGGTCACATCATTTGGTTATTTTTTTGTTCAACCATAAATAATTGAATTGAATATAATTGAATTATATAACTGCTCATGACATGCATGAATGAGCAACTTTTATTTTTTCCACCCCACAAATTTGCATTTTGTGACCACTACAGCTAGTTAAATGGCAACAAATGCATAAAAAAATCTTCAGGCTTGAACACGAAAGTCTGCTTTTGCTGCAGAGTCGAAGAGTTTACAAAAAAAATAATTCGTGCTCAGTTGGTTCCCTGCAATATTGGTGATCGTGCAGTCGCGGGCCTGGTTCCCCAAAGAGAAACAAAATCCACTTTTAATTTATTCTAGCTCTACTGAGTGGAGCGTTGAATTACGGGTACCCCTCCATACCAACGCTCCACCGATTTGCCATACTTTGGTGACACCGTCACAGTAGCATAGTCACAAACCCACGCGAGGACAAAAAGACCCCCCAAAAACGGTAAAGAGATTACAAATGAGAGAGACAGTTATCCTGGATTGATCTATACATTCTTGACATTCCATGAGACCCCTTATATCGTTCCCAAACAGCGAAAGATTTGAAAAAAAAAACAGCAAAATAGTCTGAAAACTTACAGCTCAATGTGTTTGCAGGGAGGCTCAGTTCTTGAATCGACTTGTCGAATGAGGGCGTCTGACGTGACGTCACCGTCGTTGCTCGATTGAAGAAAAACAAGTCGCGCTTTATCCACGACTGTTTTGTGTAATGATACGTGCTCCTTGGGCGTGTTCAAAGCCCATACCGTCGTACGGCGCGGCGCGGATCGGAGCACGTATTATTACACGAAAAAGCGCGACTTGTTTTTCTTCGCGATCGAGCAACGACGGTGACATCACGTCAGACGCCCTCATTCGACAAGTCGATTCAAGAACTGAGCCTCCCTGCAAACACATTGAGCTGTAAGTTTTCAGACTATTTTGCTGGTTTTTTTTCAAATTTTTCGCTGTTTGGGAACAATATAAGGGGTCTCATGGAATGTCAAGAATGTATAGATCAATCCAGGATAACTGTCTCTCTCATTTGTATTCTCTTTACCGTTTTTTGGGGGTCTTTTTGTCCTCGCGTGGGTTTGTGACTATGCTACTGTGACGGTGTCACCAAAGTATGGCAAATCGGTGGAGCGTTGGTACGAAAATAAAGATGGCGATCACCGCGGTGTACCGTGAAGGTGCAAGGCGCACTGACTCGCGCGCAGCCGGCACCACCCGTAAACCGCGCCCTAATTTCTACCCCAAGAAACTTTTCACAATTACAAAAAAGTGTGTCATTAGAGTTGAGAGAAGTCTGCGTTGGGTTCGAAAGTAATTTTGGAGTGATAAAAGACACCCTTGACTCAAATTTGGTCAAACCTAAATAAGGGTCCGAAACTGCAGCATCGCCGCATTGGCGGCGGCATAGGCCTATTTTTTTGGAGTATATTGGAACGTCATTTTTTTGTGGTTTTCATTGAATTTTTTTAAACAATTAATCAAAATAAATGCTGCACGATAAATGGACCTCCATTACGTCTTTGGATGCCTAAAAACAACCCTTAGAAAAAGAAGATTAAAACTCACTTCTTCTTTCGCAAGTTGTTAGCTGTTCCTCCGCCCGCCCGCGAATACATGAATGACGCTACAGACCACGTGTCGAGTCACGTCGAGGCAAATATAACTGGTTCCCGGCGCCCCATTATCATCGTGGCAAAATTACATCTTGTAACGGGATGGAACCAGTTCGTAGTTAATATTTTTTGGCTGGTAAATCCATGGGGCTCCAACCTTTTTATTACAAAAAAGAAGACCCACGCCCCCCCCAACCCCCCCCCCTACCGCAGGCCCAAGCCTATTATCATTTTTAAATTGGGCAAATTTAAGTAAATACTTAGTAGATTAAATATGCAAGAATTACAGCTGAGGCCTCGTTTTCTTTTGGCAATTACGAAAGCCCTTTTTACGTTTAAATGCTAAGCTGGGACAAAACAACATATGGGGACAATCTTTAAAATGACAACTTTTTAAAATGACAACTTTTTTCCCTAGAATAAAACACGTTACATAATTCGTGGTTGCCGGCAATGCCACCCGGAAGATATATATGTGAACATTGTTTTAAAGACTGGCCTAAATGGGTGAACTTTCACTAACAAACACATTATAACCACTCAAGAAATAAACGACTCAAAAACGGATTAAACTGATTGCATTTAACCATGCACATTTATTAACATTTGGTAAAAATCTAACATTTCCTAAATTCCTTTTATAGGAATTTCTTAAATTCCTATAAAAATACATTTTTAGCAGAAATGTTGACATCTATTAGTGCTTCCATTTTATGTTAGATATTTTTTTCAGCCAAAATTAATTCGGAAACAAATGGTAGGAAGTTAAAGCCTTAATTTTGATCAAAATTTTGTATTGAAAAGGATTGCATGATCAGAAACATTTTGTCGGTGAAATGAAACAATTTTCAAAAATGATTTACAATCATTATAATAATACATACAACTCAGTTGATTTGTTACATTGATTGAACATGTACCATGGTGAACAGTGGTTTTAATGTGTTAAGCCTATCAATTGAACTAAGACCTAAACTGTTACATAAAACTCGACGAACTATGGCAAGACAATCAACCATCAGAGTTATTCACAACAACGTTTACAGATCAGACATGAAACAGTCACATACAATTATAACACATAGTGCATGAAACAGTAACCTACAATTATTACGTATTTTAAAGAAATATCACCTATTAATAGAATTTCGACATGAAACAGCCACATGCAATTACGTGCATAAAGTTAAAGACATGAAACAGTTACTGATATTAAAGGGAAAATACAACATTTGCAAACATCGAAGAATAAAACTACCAAGTTTTTACGAAATACCTTACTAGGATGTTGGTAAATGACAGTCTAAAGCATCCTGTAAAATTATGGCACCTGGTGTCAAGTCATTTTCAAGAAAATGGTATTTTTGTATACATTTCCAACGGTGGTCAGCCGACCACCGTTGGAAAAACCTAACTATTTTTCAACTACTGCTCCTAATTTAAAAAATGCTTCAGTCCAAATGTTGTTTGCTATTGGTTACATGTTTATGAACGGGTGCAGGCCAGCTAGACTGGTTCCCTTACCTTACAATTTTCCGACATCTATAAATTGATCCATTTTATCTTTAGTGGAGTCAGGAAACCAGACTACTAAAACATTGTTGTTTTTCTTGATTTTTCCAGCATTTTCGAACACAAAACTTCAAACATGTCAGTTAAACAATATTTGATATATTATACTAACCCCTTAAATAGTTCATTTCTGAAAATTACAGCAAAAGCCAATGAAGTACATTCCCTTTAAAGGAGCTTTACAAACAAAAATTACACGAAACAGACATTCTTCAGTTAATTATTCGACATCAGTACAATATATTTGTTAACACTGATGGTAAGCAAATCTATATTTTGGAAAGAAAAAAAAACTTTGAAAATTGTGAGGTAAATTTTCTCAAACATCTGCATGCAAAATAAACACAGTTGTTCACTATGTTGTGTGACTGGATACATTTACAATTGTGTAGTTTGAGGCAGTGACATTTTTAAAGATACATTAAAAATGTTGCTGCCTCAAACCACACAATTCTAAATTGTCTTCACAGTCAAGATTTAGCCTTGATTCATGATCAATACATGTACATAATACATTAAACCACCCTGTAAGAAATGTTAAATGTTAACATTATTTCTATGTTCACAAATGTTAAGTAATATATACACATCTTGTCGACATTAGGTACTGATATTTTAACATGATAAATTTAAGAGTTAATTTCACATTCCTCCACTCTACTCCCCCTCCCCCCCCCCCAAAAAGCTTGAAGTTGAGTTAAGTTCACAAATATAAACACATATTACAGATGTTTGTCCAAATGTGTTTGTTTTTATAGTTTGCATTGCACACTTGGGCAAACACAAAAATTATCATCATAAATGTGTTTATATTTAACAGACTGATGTCATTGAGTTTATAAAGCAGCAATATGTAACAGCTGGAACGCATCTTCACAAAAAAACACCCCCCCCCCCCAATAAAAATCCATAAATGAGCCTTGACTTAAAGGGAATATACAACATTTGCTTTTGCTGCAATTTTCAGCAATAAATGGATTGGAGGATTAGAGTGCTTTAAGTAGCTTGTTTCACGTTTTGGGTTCGGAGATGCTGGAAAATCTAAGAAAACAACCATGTTCTTGAAGTCTGGTTCCCTGACCCCACTTAAGATAAGATTGAGACGTTGCAATTTATAGACTTTGGGGATTGTAAGGTAAGAGACATCAGTCTAGCAGGCTTGTACCCCTTCACAGATGTGTAATCAATTGCAAAGAAAATGCGGAATGACTAAATATGAACAGTTTTAAAAAAAAAGCCAGTTTTCTCCAATGATGGTTGGCTGACCAACGTTGGAAAAATACAAGTTTTCTTGAAAGTGTTAGCACACGAGGAGCCAAGGTTTTACAGGATGCTTTAGATTGTCATCCCCTAACAATCCAGTAAGATATTTTGTTATAATTTCATCGTTTCGTTTTTTGATGTTTGCAAATGTTGTATCTTCCCTTTAAGTAAAATCTAGGCTTGTGCAGTGGAGAGTGTGGTGTTCTGTGAGCAAATATGCACTGTACACTCAGACATTAAATTAGTAATCAATTAAAATATACAATACACCAACTCAACAAAAACAGAATACGAAATCCAAAGAAAGGGATGAGCGTAAAATCTCTTTACAGTTGAAAGTCCAAATGCGAACCATATGTTACAAATAACCAAATAAATATTAGATTCAATAACGCTATAGTTTGTGCAATGCAATCAAACGGACCAACATATGTTTTAGTCGACAAAACAAAGAGGAAATACTATGAAATGTAGGATTCAGAAATGGAACTTTTTGAACAAATATACTTATTGTATCTGATAAAAAAACAGCTAACACACCCCCCACAAAAATTCCCTACACCGATGTATACATACGTGTGTCAGTATATGGGCAATTCTGAGGTTACTCATGTTACATTTGATGTACTTTTGAGTTTCCTTGGGCTGTAATTACCTTACTGAAAAGGTTTAATAACTGTTATCCCCATGGTAGTCATCAAGACGTCATCAAAAATGCGTTTTTTTAAACACATATAAGGGAAAGTCCGATCGTCATGAAACTTGGTGGATAGCTAGATAATGTAATTGGTATGCAAAATCCGAAATGACGTCACCATGATGTCATCGCATGATTTTTTTATGTTTTTTTTTTTAATATTTACAATTTCATTCCGCTTCCAAAAATGTAACACTTCCTTTCATTGGATTGACTTCAAGCTTGGTACAAACCAAGACCACAATGCAAAAATGTGCATTGATAAGAGTTATCAAGATGACGTCATCGTAGGGCATGTGACGTCATCATAAAGGTGCATTTTTCAGAGTCTCATATAGACCGCTTGCAGACGCGATCGATAATTGACGCGCGAGGGTGCACGACGCCATGTTATGGGACAAAATGTGCATGGATAGATATACGCCTGTCCCACAACATGGCGTCGCGCGCCTTCGCGTGTCGATTATCGAACGCATCTGCAAGCGTTCTATTGAGAAAACTATCAGTCAGAATGGGTCAAAATTGCGTATGAACTTAGTCCGATACGTATGTGGCATACAGGTACAATGTAATTTTACCCGAAGTCATGATAAAACATCATCATGTAATTTTATATCATGAAAAAAGTAAAACTGCTGCAAACTGCTTACTGACTGGATGGACCTGAAATATATAAATCTTAAAATTAATGTGGCCTGACGTTGCGAACCTAGCAAGTTCTTCTTCAAAGGCTAAAACAGAAATGACAGAGGTACATACATGAACAAGGGGGTGCACACAAACATGCAGGGCTGAAAGAAGAAACACAAAAGGAGGATTAGGTGGGAAAGATGCAGGGGAGGGTGGATGAGAGAACAAAACAAAGGAAGATGGCAAACCACAAGGGGTCTGGTGTAAACAGGGGAGGGACCAGAAAGGGGAAGGATCAAAGGTCACAGGGAGTGGGAACGGACAAAAGAGTGTGAGAGTGAAGGGATGATGGGGGGGGGGGGGGGGACAGTATTGAGGTGGAAAGGGATGAAAGATGGGGAAGATGTGTAAACACAAACAAGGAAGACCAGATGGATTATCTGTAACAGAGGACAATGGAGGAAGAAAAGGATTAATCATTTCCAAGTTGGATGTTGAGACCATGTGGTTGAATAGTTCGAAGACGATTCATCCACACCTTCTCTCTGCTGAGGCGAACTGACTCTTTGCGATGGCCAAGAGATTCAATGCCCTGCAAAATCATATCAGAAATGGAGTGGTTAGGCAGGTTGAAGTGATGACCAACAGGGGTGTCTAGTTTCTTGGTGTTGACCGTTGACCGATGGGCATAGAAACGCTTCTTGAGCGTATTCTTAGTCTCACCTACATACTGCACTCCACAGACCCTGCAAGAAATGAGATATATGACATTAGAGGTGTTGCAAGTGATGTTACCAATGGTTCTGTGGGTAGTGACAGAAGAGTGGCCAGAAA